TAATTTCACAGAAAAAAATAGAGTGACGTGGTATTTGAATATTGCTTATTGCTTATTAAGTAAATTTCAAGTACTCTTAATATTGTGCTTAGCTTTTGGTAGTCTTCTTTTGCTATTCCATTGTGCCTTCGGATTTCGGTGTTACGTATTCCATCCTCTATTAAAAAAAAAGTTTTTTTTAATCGTTTCATCCCAAGCTAGAGAATAAAATTACTAAGACACAAGTGGTTACTGAGTGTGAAAGAATAAGAAAAAAGAGGAACATTATTAAAGTACTGAGAACGTTATCAGTGTAATCAAGAAAACAGTAGATAACGATTGACTTTGCGTTTACATTTTTGAAGATCAATGTTGGCTGAAGTGCATGGAGAAGAAAGAGAGTTCCACCAGCGTGATGTGATAGAAAAAATACTGTTAACATAGAACTTACATCAAGCCAATTCAACTGTTACTTGAGACCTTGTTGGCAATTTAGAATTGCACTTAATTCGAACAATTGCAATGAAAGTATTTATAGAAATGGAACAGGGAAACTTCATTACAGTGGGAAAGTGACTGACGCCAGGTTAGAACCAATAATATTGCTGATTTTTTGAATTTCATATTTAAGGTAGGAACTCTAATTATATCTGAATCGCCTTACTGTATAGATTGAATAAGTTCGGTTCGAAGACACTTCTTTGTTTACACCCCTTTTCTTTTTTTTATATTTACTGAAATCATTTTCTATTCATATACAGGCAGTTTGGCCGCTGTATATGTTCGAGATTATTCTAAAATCCTTCCCATATATGCCAAGTTTACCTCTCAGTTCCAACAGTTTTTTATTAAGTACTTTGTTTAACGCTTTTGCATAATCCCTGAGACATAGGCATGCATCCTTTTGCGTTTGTGTTACTCATTCTGGTATCATTCTTAGCAGGAATATCGTATCCTTCTTTTCCTATTTAAGTTCTTATTCTGCTACACGCTCTACTTTTAGAATTCAGGAGATAATTCTTGTTACATAGTGTTATGGTCCGGTTCCTTGTACCACGGTGATAGTCCAAGGTAGAACGAATAAAGAAGAATTCGAGCACGGATATGGAATAACACAGATATATTACAAACAGGAATATATACAGAGAAGTAGAAAGTGTTATTACGAACAATCAGGTTTAGTAGTAATTGTCTGAACACGTTTCTGTTTCGGACTGCCTCTGACTCGACTGACTGACTCCTGACGGACTTCACTCCAGACTTCAGACTGAACTCCAGGCTTCAGACTGAACTCCAGACTTCAGACGGAACTCCAGACTTCAGACTGAACTCAGACTTCAGACGGAACTCTAGACTTCAGACGGAACTTCCTGCTTCCTCTTGAGGCGCAGTATTTATTACGTATGGAATAGTCCATTATGTTATTATGGGTAAGGTCCCATAACACATTGCTTATTAGGCTGATTGCCAGATGGGGTTTACATTCGCTTGCATCTGTCTTCTGAGGCAAATCTACGAAAATTAATCTACTTAGGTCTTCTGGGATATCCCCACTACTTTAAAAAAAATATGGTGAACTGTACAATTACATTTTTTTGTAATCAATTGACCCCATGCGAAGCGATAATGTCTCTAAGACGAAAGAGGTTACTGGGAAGGAAAGCAAATAAGACGTCAGAAGGAAACGGAAACCCAATCCTGAACAGGAAACGTAAACATCAACTCCTGTTAAAAAAAAAAAACGGGGCATAGTGCGAGCCGGACAACGGGCGATCCTATCTACGCCTATTGATATATATGATTTGTGTATATTTTTATACGTTGAAGTTATGTTCTCTGCAGTAAGGCTATAATCTGATCCAGGTAACTTGATAAACGCTTTCCTTGTCTGGTACGGAGGACTTTAAACAGTGTGTATATATTGTAAGAAGTGTGAAAAATATACGTCGATACTTTATATTTCTTTAAAGTAGTCCATCATCTCTGCTGGTTCCGACCATAGAGTCATCTCCGATACAATAAAACATCTCCTTAGTTCAACCAAACGAGTCAAACTACACCCCATGAAATATATTGTCTTGAACAAGGTCTCATGCAACCAAGACCTCTCGAAAAACTTCGCTCTTGTACTATGTACAATAAATTTCAGTCTTTGTTCATTGTTGATATCACCACAGATAATGTTGAGGAAATGTATGCCAGTCTTATTTCATCTACTGAGGAAGTAGCATTTGCAACTCTCCCCCAAAAGAAGAGTGGAGGCCGAATAAAATCCAGTAATTACACTCGCGTGTCGAGTCAAGATCCAACCTCAAAACTATCTCAAAATCCTACCACCCGTCCCCAAATCAGGAAAAGAAGATACAGCAGATAATGGCCAAACAGGAACTTGATTATGCCTATTTGAAGCTCTATCTAACCACATCAACAGCAAGACAGATGACTTTTCAAGACAGCATATCATCAAGCAGCACCATCTAGTCTGGAAAACTGTAAAACGGCAAAGATTCTGGCTCCATCATCAGATTCAAGGGAGGATCGGACGGGAAACTTTTTGAAAACTGGTCACACTATTTCAAGAACTTGGCAAAGAAGCGGGGCTTCCTGAAAACTATACACTCCCAAGTGTTCAAATCTCGGATGCTCTAAAGAACGACACTTCTCCCTTCTTGATCAGTGAGCTTAAAGCAGCAAGCAAACAACTCAAAGGTTTCAAAGCATTTGATTCAGGCAGCATCTCAGCCATTATCTGGAAAGATGAGCATTTACAACAACTCCTACTCAAACTTTCTAACCACACCTCAACATTCAAGAGTCCAAATATTTGGCACAAATTGCAGATCATACCTATGACAAAAAAGTGAGACGTCTCTCTAGCAACCAACTATAGAGGAGTCTTATTGATATCAACTGCTGCCAAGGTGTACAATAAACTCATCTTCAGCCTCTTGAAAACCTTCTTTGAGACTGTACCCCGGAACAACCAAAACGGCTTCAGTTTTGGCAGATCTACCCTAAACCAAATCCTGTGTCTACGCAGACTTATTGAGAAATCTGAACTGAGCAAACTAGAGCTTGTAATTGTTTCCGTTGACTTCTCAAAAGCTTTTGGCTATGATGATAGATCTAAAATGTTTGAGATTCTTAAAATCTTTCAATCCTTGACAAAATGATCGACGCATCAGGTCCATGTACACAGACATCTCATCAACCGTTGTCACTCCTGATGGAGAAACACCGCCATTTTCCATTAGAACTGGAATGCACCAAGGAGATAAACTTGCACCATTTCTATTTACTATTATTATGAATTATGTACGTCATATTTCGTTTGACAATCTGCAAGATAAGTGTTTCCAATATTGACCTCTTGCCTGCTTCCCTACCAAATATCTTACAGATACTGATTTCGCTGATGACATCGCATTTATCAGTCAATCTCTAGAGAATGCGCAAGCTCTCATACAATCTATTGAGCAAGCCTTCAATTGAGTATCGCAATGAGTCAAAAAATGAATACATGAACAGATGTACAGCCAACAATGACCATCCGATAAAATCCCTTAATAACACCAATTTGAATCAAGTTGAGGATTATAAATATCTAGGATCATTAATCTCCTCCTCCTCTTCCTCCTTGAAAGACTTCAAAACTAGGAAGGGTATGCAATGATATGCACAAGACCAGGACATCACAATTGAACGGAAAACTCAAGATCAAAGGCGCTGTTGAGCCTATTCTACTCTATGGCCCAGAGACATAGATACTCTCTAGAGGCATGAAGAAACATCTGGATGGACCCTACACCCGTCTTCTGATGAGAGCTCAAAACCACTTTTGGAAATATCATCCACCAAATCTACGGCAGTCTCCCCTGTGTTTCCTCTCTCATACGAGCTCGTCGAACACAGTTTGCTGGCCACTGCCACAGTGCTGAGAATGAGGTTGTCTCCTCTCTCCTACTCTGGAAGCCTACATCAAACCTGACCAGGGGCATAAAACTATCATTCCCTGACGTCATCTCAAGGGATAAAGGCATTGGTGTGCAAGACTTGGGGACAGCAATGTAGGACCGGGAGGTTTGGCGTAGTGTTGTGGACGCCATGATTTCGAATGCGCTCGACACATGATTATAAAAATAAGAAATACATAAAATCTTTTATGATGTTTATATCAAGTCCCTAAGGACAAAACAATTACTGCAATTTATTTTTTGTTATGCTTTTGCTAACATAATTTATTATCTCCGTGAAACAATTTTCAACATAAAAAAATAAATATGATTAATAAATACGAAATGCAAATATATATTAATCCAAATACCAAACCAAAATTCATTTTGTATATATTTTGTATAACTACTTCTCCAGTCTCACCTACATTTATACCTCATTATTCCTAGCGATTGTTTTACCCAATCTTCTGTGACTGAGTCATCGGCAAATAGCTAAACTATCTTAATGTTTTTTCTTTCAATTCTTGTAATCTAAAAAAGAATATTTTCATACTTTTGAATAAGATATTACATGCTTTTTATCAGATGAATAAAAATTGTTTAAGCCAATATTGAAAAATTTCCAGTCAGAGGATAAAATTTATGTTTCGCGTGGATTAATTTTACGTCATATAATAAAATGCATGCGTTAACATTTATAGGTAATATTATAATCTAATTGCTCTAAAATTCAATATTTCCTGAAATATAATGCTGGATATAGTAAACTAGCAAAAAACGTAACCTAAAACCTGGAAATTTTATGCATTTTGTGCATGACTAAGAGTAAATAGATATAATTTTTCAAATCGAAATCACCTGCTTATGATGTAACGAAAACGTGTAAATTGAAGAAAAATCCTTTTGATTAGAATCGACTACAAGAAAGATATGAATGGTATGTGAAACACATAAGCAACTGAAATTTGATTTTTATTAATGTTCGATAAACTTGATCAATATCTGTTGGAGTTAGCAAGTATATATACAAGCTAACTCCGTTTACTGTATCCTAAATTGGGAACAATGGACTCAAAGATGCTGATATTATGGCAAATTTGTGGTAAGAATTTGTTTATATAATTTGATTATGTATGAAAATAATTAGCCATCGTACGTAAATAATTAGATACATTATAAAGTTTGGCGTATTTAACAATATACATTATTGCCTTTCAGTCATGGTTAAAAACAGTAATTTGTATGAAATGTTCCTAGAATATTCCTGATGCGTTCTCTGAATGTTTGTCAATTAGTCATAATTGTTCTTTTCTTCTCGAGCTAATTTTAAATTTGAAAAATATGTAAGAAATCATGAACTTTTAAAAACATAACTTCTTAAAATACCATGAATATTTCTTGACTTAGCATTCGAGAGTTCGATATACCAATGAACATTTTTTGAGATATTCTATTACTTTTACGAACTTTAACACGGAATGTTTGGATACATGTATATGTCTTAAGTATCAAAATTAGATAAGTATACAAATTTTGAATAAAAAAAATATTTAAATAATATTAAAATGTTTAGCTTTGAAATTTTGTTGCATTTGATACTTATAAAGTTAATAATTCTTCATACTGTTTTATAGAACCATATTTTGAGGTACCTGGATGAATATGGATTTTATGAATTACTGTTTTATTCTCAAATATTGTGATGTAATTTGTTTGTAAAAACAAGATTAACAAAAATATTCATATGATGTTAATACATAAGGATCACATGAAATATACAAATGTCGAGTCTTATTCGTATTAAGATTTTGAATTGAGCTGTATTGCATTAATGTGAAAGAGTCTATAAATAAACTTTAATTGAATTTTCTAAACAGAGTCTTCCTTTTTAAAATATCAAATTTAACAAGTATTTTCTTCTTACAGTTCTCGCATGGGTACTTCCTCACCCAGGAAGTGCTTTTGGTAAGTATAAACTTAAACACTTCTTCTCTGTGCGAACATTTGTGCGCACAGATTTATACATGCATATATGATATATATAAATATAAAACTGTACATTTAGGGAAAAATTAAGATTTCTCATTAGGCTTGCTCATAGGTGATATCAAGCGCATCTGATCAAAATTCAAATCTTTAAGCGCAAATATAACCTAACGGCAAACTCAGACAGATATTTGTTCAATACAAGACGATAAACATGGAGCATGCAGTGAGGATCGAACACATTGCTCATTCGCAGAGGTTAACAAAACAGTTTGTTAAATATTCCACTGCAATGAACCGTCAGGTACAGTGAAATAGGAAAATGGAAATGGAAAATATATAAATACAGAAAATACAGAAAATTTACTTGAGTGTTAACCTTATGAAAAAAAATGAATATTTATCAAGTCATTTGTTTCATTTATTCGAGGTACACCACCCAATATTCAAGAGTAATCATTTATTTTGGTTTTGTTTAATCCATGATTTAATAATTATTTTCATTATATCAAATATATAATCGGAAATATATTTTTCAAGACATTTATTTCAATATATTTTATCTTAAAATGTTGAACTCAAAAGATTCTCCTCTATTTCAACTCTAGATCGGAAATAAATATCTGGCTAACACTATTTGTGAGTGCTTGTAACTATTTTATAGCACACTCTTGTAAGTTTGTGATTTCCTTCACATTAATCCGAAGAAAGAAATTAAGAAATAATCATATGAAGTGTATATTAAAATAGTAGTTGATTTCCACATTTTTCCTTTGATATTCTATTAAAAACATTCTTTGCAGCCTGTGAGAATAGAGTCGTTAACATTTTATTAGTTCTTTATGATTCTGGAAGAGTGGGAACTTGGAAATTCCAGGTATGTGATATTCAAGATGACAATTTATCTGCCTTTATATATATGGTTATCATTAAGCATATACTGTATATTTAAGTTCCAATTCGAAAATCTTTTTTTTTTAACTTTTAAATGCCATGCTTTTTCAGTCCCCACTAGTAAATTATATATCATCGGAGACGCTTTACTCTTTATCATCTTTGACTTTACTTGTCATCTTGTGGTATATAGTTCAGTGTTTTTTTTTTCCGCTGCGGTCACAACGGTTTTGAATCCACACTATTCATACTTTTAGGCTGGCCGGCATGTAAAGCTAAAGAACACAATCAACACAACTCTTTAACCCATAATTTGGGGAGGATAAGAGTTGGATTTATGCATTTCTCAAAGATATTACAGGTAGTTCATGAACTTATCGGAAATAATCTCCTGGATGACAAACAGTATAGGTTTCCCGCCTCTAAGTCCACCGCTGATGTTTTGACTGTTATCACCCACAAAAGCGTTCGATGGGTTCTGTTTCTGTACATTAACTGAGACATCTTAAAGGCTTTTGGTAATGTCTTCTCCGCATGATCAAACGCTTTCACTCATGAACGTAGTGTGTGAATTTTCTATAATGCAACAGTCATCCAATGCCTTCTCTTCGGTCCTGCACCGTTTTTGCTCGTTATTAACGACCAACCTAAGAACATTCTCAGATCATTGGCAAACGACTATGCAGTCGATACCACTGTTTATGGACGCACTTCGAAAAACCAAAATAATTGAAGTTTTGCAGTCGATCTCTCTTCTAAACTTGCCAATGGAAAAGTAACTGCCTTGTAAGTTTTAATGCATCAGAAAGCAAATTAGTATCGTTTCATCATCATCGATCAATTCCTGAGTTTTCTCCAGTTACGATTAACTGTTCTACTGTCAATGATTCACCCGGCGTTAAATACGTCTTGGGATTTGTTGTGGATTCCGTGAATGGAATCCTGCACAAATAAATAAACAACTCCACTAACTGAGATGGAAAAATAAATGTATTAAACGTAAGAATACAGACTTGAAGTGAAGATTAGTAGTCCAGGAATGAGGGTTAGTAAGAAGTATATGTACAAATCTCTGTAAGTAAAACAGTAATCATCTCTCTCTCTATCTATCTATCTATCTATCTATCTATCTATCTATCTAACTCTGGCCTCTTGTATAACTCTCTGAGAACACCCTGTGTCTGCCTCCGTATCTCTCAACCTGTCTAAACGTATCTCCACGTATATCAACGTATCTTTACGTATCTCAACGGCAAGTATTCTCTCTGTCAGTATAAGTGTACTTTGGACGAGTCCATCATATGTAAAAAGGGGAGAGCCCCACAGCAGGATTCAAGTTCTCTCCAGATATCAAGTGAAACTCATCTACACAATTCCTTAGAAAAGAAGCTAGAAAAAACGGTGCTTCGTTATATGGCTGCTCGGGGCATCTGATTACTTGTGCGGTGTATTATTTTCTCCAGAGTTAGAAGAAACCAAAAAGGAAGTATTATTAACATAGCTCTACTGGAGATGGTTAGTCTGTATTTTCCAGATTTGACCGAGATCAAATTCTCTGTATGGTCTTCTGAATGATGATTTATTTTATCCTCTTTAACCCTATTCACGTAAACGCAACCTTACAAGCTTGTCGCTATCACCGTTTTCATGGCAAATATTTAGATGAGATTCCTTCTTTGGTTCATAAATTCGGATTTTTACATCCTCGGACAATCCATGACAGTTGCGAGGGGTTGACTTGACTCTTTTTTTTCTGTGAAAGAAGAATGGATTTCATGATTTTTTTTCCTAAAAAATGTCCCTATTGAAAACATGCCAGTCTGCCCCGCGCCAGAAATAACCAATTGTAACCTCTTCAAATCAATGTCATTAGTCATATTCCCGACTTATTATCAGAATCAACATTTTTCACCTCAATACCATCCATTCACATTATGGTAAAAAAAAATATAAAAAATATTTCTGACATGGTGGAAACAATGATGAAAATAAGAAAATAAAAAAAGTAAAGATGAAAAAAGGATGACATGGCTCGATATGTCATGATTTGATGAAATATCTTTACTTTTAACAATTCGCAAAAACACCGCCCACATACGCACACACTTACACACACACACACACACACACACACACACACACACACACACATATATATATATATATATATATATATATATATATATATATATAAACAAGGGGTCATTACAATCTTTAAATGATAAATCTTATTAACAACTTATTAGATGAAGATTAAGATTTAAGTAAAATTAAATTAAATTCATTGTATACATTTTTCTATTGTGCTGAAATATTCCTAAGGCCATGAACACTGTTATAATGATCAATTTGTACATTAAAAGACATTACTTTTGGTTATGCTTATCTACGAAATAATTCGAACTCCCACTCACATCTATAGAAATGTCAATACACATAGAAAATCATTATTAATAGGCCGTTAGACATCGATAATTTAATTCTTTGACTTTACAAAATGGACTTTTATATACATTAAAATCATTTTTAAATATTTGGCACACATCGTACAAAATAATCACATAACTTGTCTCTAAGACGAGCTGAGAAACTCAGGGACAATGTAAATCTTGACTTTCTTTAAATTAGGTTGTCAGTGTTTTGTTCAGAAGAAACAGTTGGTCTCTTGTAAAATATTTTATGTTCTGTTGCAGGGAAGAATCGAAATATGACATATTTTTTTATGCTTTTTTTCAATACCGGAAACTCGATTATTCTTGTTGACATATGGTTTGGGTTATCTAATATATTCACTTTCACTCTAAGGTATACAGACATTTAAAAAGCCTCTCTTAAACGTCATCATATTTTCGAATGGATTTCAGAAAAAAAAACAACTCAGAAAATTTTCTTTTTGTTTCTCATCTTCAGTGAAATTTTAACTCAAGTTTTCTTGTAAAAACCTATCAACATATAGTGCTCCATGTATCTAAATGCATTCAATACCCAGAAAATTGTGGAGTCAATATACACTCGAAACAAACTTCATTTCCGTTTGGGTCGTATATTGGAAGGAAGAGGCGACCAGGGTTTTGTTTGCTTGTTTCTTTCTCTATTACTTTCTTTTTACTTTGTTCTTCCTTCCCAAAATGTAAAAAAGCAAATGCCATAATTTATTATTGATTCATTTTTGCTAATAATTTTTCAGGACAATAATATCTTTGCAATAAAAATGTAAATAAATCTAATTATTATTAATTATATGTAATATTTTTACATATTATTTTACTACAAAAAAGTATTTAATATTAAAACCGATTTATAATAATATCCCACGCACAATTCTACATTACAATTTTGATGCAAACTTCTAACATGAGTCGGATTAGAATTATGTATTTGGTGAAATATAGATTTAAAACATTTGAAATTAAGTTTAGATAATATCATGTAAAATCGCACGTTGAAAGAGGATGAAATACAAGCATAAATTATTGTAATATATAAAATGTTGAATAATTTATGTTTACAAAATCGGATTTTATAAACATTAAAATCATTTTTAATATTTAATAGAATATCAGTCTCTAAGACTAGCTGAGAAATGCACAAAAATAATATTTTAAATCAAATGATTTTTTCATTTTTTTCAGTGAAGAATCTAACACAACAATCTTTGTTCATTGAAAGTACTATCTTTTGGTTCTATTTCATCTATGTCTTAATAATTTGACCTTAATAACTAAATCGAATGGATTTCAAAAAACAACTCGGAAAATTTTTCTTTTTTTCTCTTCTTCAGTGAAATTTTAACTTAAAATAAAAATATATATTCTTTGATCTTTAAAACAAAATCGGATTTTTATAAACATTAAAATCATTTTTTTTAAATATTTGAGTACTATCTTTTGGTTCATTTCATAAGTAAACCAAAAATTATCTCATACCAAAAATCTGTCTCTAAGACTAGCTGAGAAACTCAAGGGACAATCTAAATCTTGACTTTCTTAAATTAGGTTCTCAGTGTTTTGTTCAGAAGAAACGGTTCGACTCTTGTAAAAATATTTTTTATTTTTGTTGCAGGGAAGAATCTTAATATTTTTGACAGCTTTTTTTTTATGATTATTCTTTGTTCATATGGTTTGATTATCGGAAACTCGATTTTTCTTATTTTGAAAAAATCGTTTGTTTTATCTAATTTTATATTAAAAACTTTCATATACTCCTAAAGCATTATACAGATATTTAAAAAGTCTCTCTTAAACGTCATCATATTTTCGAATGGATTCCTTCCCAAAATGTAAAAAAAAACAACTTGATTCATTTTTGCTAATAAAAATTTTCTTTTTGCAATAAAAATGTAAATAAATCTAATTCTTATTTTAGTGAAATTTTAACTTAAGTTTTCTACAAAAAGTATTTTATTAAAACCTATCAACATATAATGCTCCATGTATCTAAATATATAAAATGTTGAATAATTTATGTTTGAAAAAGTTAAGCTAATAAAAGAATATCAAAGTTAAGCTAATAGAATAAAAAAATATTTTAAATCAAATGATTTTCTCATTTTTCAGTGGCATCTAACACAACAATCCCTGGTGAGTACTATCTTTTGGTTCTATTTCATCTATGTCTTAAGAATTCTGACCATGATAGAAATAACTAAACCAAAATATATATTCTTTGACTTTACAGAATCGGATTTTATAAACATTAAAATCATTTTTAAATATTTGGCACACATCGTACCAAAATTATCTCATAACTTGTCTCTAAGACTAGCTGAGAAACTCAAGGGATAATGTAAATCTTGACTTTCTTAAATTAGATTCTCAGTGTTTTGTTCAGAAGAAACGGTTCGACTTTTGTAAAAATATTTTATTTTTTGTTGCAGGGAAGAATCGAAATATGACATATTTTTTATGCTTTTTTTTCAATACCGGAAACTCGATTATTCTTGTTGACATATGGTTTGAGTTATCTAATATATTCACTTTCACTCTAAGGTATACAGACATTTAAAAAGCCTCTCTTAAACGTCATCATATTTTCGAATGGATTTCAGAAAAAAAAACAACTCAGAAAATTTTCTTTTTGTTTCTCATCTTCAGTGAAATTTTAACTCAAGTTTTCTTGTAAAAACCTATCAACATATAGTGCTCCATGTATCTAAATATATAAAATGTTGAATAATTTATGTTTCAAAGTTAAGCTAATAGAATATCAGCAATGCATAAAAAAATATTTTAAATCAAATGATTTTCTCATTTTTCAGTGGCATCTAAAACAGCAATACCTGGTGAGTACTATCTTTTGGTTCTATTTATTCTATGTCTTAAGAATTCTGACCATGATAGAAATAACTAAACCAAAATACAAATTTCACGACATTGAGTTCACTTTAAAATCGCTCAATCTAAGGTTCCCAGACATATTCATATAAATCAACTGAAAACTATCACTTCTTTACAACTATTTATTGAATTGTTTCATCTAGCAGGTACTAGATTATTTCTCTGTACTTACCTACTTATAATAACATATCTGTTCATTTTCAGTTGTTGATACTGTTTTTCTGCTTGATGATTTTATCATATAGAATTGGCTAGCTTTGAGATTTTCAAGATTTCATAAAAGACGTTATGCACGATTTGAAAATACGACACGAGAAAGTCTACATATTAGCTGTTTTTTTCGGTATTCCTTAACTTACATCTTAAGAAATATAACAACGAGTACATCTTTAAAGATGAAATATCAATCATATTTATTGAGAGATTGATAGCAAATATTTGCATATCTTTCTTGAGGCAAGAGGAATTGTATGCGCGTGTGCATTTTTATGAAATACTTTGATTCCCAGGTGCATATGTACATGAATCCATATCATGATTTAAGAAATCAATATAAATCACAAAACAGTAGAAGTATTCCTTCGCTTTTGTCATTTTTGACAGAATGAATATATAGTTTCAAATAATATCTTAAGTTGTCTCATTATTCTGTGATATAATATACTTATTCCATATTTTATATTGGTTGAGTATTTAAGTAAACCGTTCTTAACTTTCGTTTTGACTATCAAATGTTGGGGTAATTCAACTGCTATATATAGGAATATTCTTCTTACATCGTACAAATGGATAAAGAAAAGCACTTGTTTAACGAAAATCTTACGCTATGTTATTAGGAGGCTTGCCACAATTATGATGAATAAAATATTTTCTCTGTCATTATATGAACAATTTACAAGATAATGATTAACCATATATAGGAAATTTCAACATTTCTATGTCGAAAATCTAATTCGTTTTTAAAAGTTATGTTCCTTTCGGAAAATAATTGAATTGACTCCTATCTTCAATAAGTAGTATTCATTAGCGTAGGCTAGCAGAGACCATGATCTAGATAGCACAGTTAATCCACTGTTGGGAGGATAGAAAATATTTATGTATGCCATTTCGAAAGCCGTTAATAGGCCGTTAGACATCGATAATCCAATTTTTTGACTTTACAAAATGGGCTTTTATATACATTAAAATCATTTTTAAATATTTGGCACACACCGTACGAAAATCATCTCATAACTTGTCTCTAAGTCTAGCTGAGAAACTCAAGGGACAATCTAAAACTTGACTTTCTTAAAGTAGGTTCACAGTGTTTTGTTCAGAAGAAACATTTCGTCTCTTCTAAAAATATTTTATGTTCTGTTGCAGGGAAGAATCGAAATATGACAGAATTATTTTGCTTTTTTTCAATACCGGAAACTCGATTATTCTTGTTAACATATGGTTTGGGTTATCTAATATATTCACTTTCACTCTAAGGTATACAGACATTTAAAAAGCCTCTCTTAAACGTCATCATATTTTCGAATGGATTTCAGAAAAAAAAACAACTCAGAAAATTTTCTTTTTGTTTCTCATCTTCAGTGAAATTTTAACTTAAGTTTTCTTGTAAAACCTATCAACATATAGTGCTCCATGTATCTAAATACATTCAATACCCAGAAAATTGTGGAGTCAATATACACTCGAAACAAACTTCATTTCCGTTTGGGTCGTATATCGGAAGGAAGAGGCGACCAGCGTTTTGTTTGTTTCTTTCTTTCTCTATTGCTTTCTGAAAATAATTGAATTGACTTCTATTTTCAATAAGTGGTATTCATTAGAGTAGGCTAGCAGACACCCACATCTAGATAGCACAATTTACACTACTGTTTAATCTACAGTTGGGAGGATAGAAAATATTTATATATGCCATTCCGAAGGGTTTCAGCATGAAAGTGAACGAAACAGAAATTTTCGATCGGATATCCGAAACATTACCCCCAAGAAATTATACAAATGCAACATAAATTTGCCATCTGTCCTATGTTATACATCTCGCACTTATTCATGGAATTTGTTAAATTCGATATCGTGTAATAGTCAGATTTCTCATTAAAACGTCAGCACTCATTAAAACTATTCCTGCAATCTGTTGCCTAGAATAATTAAACATTGTAAGTAATGCCCTCTTAAATAAAATAGATCATTCTAAATTGATCAACACAACGAAGTTAAATATAAACACCCTTAATTATAAGTATGACAAAAGAGTAATTAATGGCAGATAGACATTTACTAAGTACTCGACTACAAATAAGTTGTATGCACTGAGGATCGAATACTATATTCATTAATTAAAATCGGCCAGTGGAGAGAAGAAATGAGTGTGGGAATCTTCCAATTCGTTGCAGTTTCAACATCGAGTTTTCAGTAAGTAGCAAAAATTCTCACTGAAAAAATTGGAGGGGAATCGCCATTTATAATGAAATCCTTCAAGTTTGATCTAATAATTCCTTAATTATCTTCACCAATTTATGCTCAATTGAAAAGGCACTCAATCTACATCTACTTTGATAAATGTAAGCGTTTTCTTCAGTTTCTTATCATCCCATTTTTGAGGATGAACGATGCCAATCCCCGAACTGGGACTTACAACCTTCTCACAATAAGCTCAATTGTCCGCTGACCGTCTGAAATCACTCAGCATGTTTCAGTATGATATCCAGTGATAAAATAATTGTTTACAATTTTTTACCATTTATTTGTTTATTTTTCTTCTGGGGAATTTTTTTACAGTTTGGTTTATGACCTGAACTCCAGATTATAAGATATTAATATATCGCGTTACAGAAATACGAAATATTTTCAACAAAATCATGTGGTTATTTTTCATAGGAGTTTTTTTTGTTTTTTGGTCAATTTGTTAGAAATTGGAAGTATTTAATGTTTAATTTCTAAACTTGTTCATTTAATGTTTAATTTCTAAACTTGTTCATTTAATGTTTAATTTCTAAACTTGTTCATTTAATGTTTAATTTCTAAACTTGTTCATTTAATGTTTAATTTCTAAACTTGTTCATTAACGTTAAATTTATTGACGTATATACACGAGTTTACACTAAAGTTTTCTCATAATAATTTTCTGATATCTGATATCAAGCGCATATTTGATCAAATATCACATATGTGATCGAAGCTATAACCATATGGTAGATAATGTCAGATAGATACTTACACAGCCAGGACTAGCAACACTGAATATGAACTGAGGGGACCAGCGACCTCAGAAATAAAAATAGATCGGAATAAATTGCTAAACATTTCTCCACAGTAAAGCTCCCGAGAGGTTCCGATAGGAGAACGCACTATCTTTTGTCTATTTAATTTAGAAGTAAAAATTTATCGATAGTATTTTAAAAAATAGAAGGACTAAAATAATTTAATTTTAACCGTTCTTTTTGTATGTGCCTTCAGGATGTGGACTGTTATGACTCTCCACAATTTCCTCTCCTTTATTGCTTTAAGTAAAGATTGTATTTTTGTTATCACTCCTAATCTCAGTTCGCCAGTCATTCACACCAGCTCGATAAGTAGCTTATGCGCAGATTTCCTTTCACTATGTCCTGTGAGTACCAAATTTTCTAAAACCTCTTTCCTCATTATGTACCCTAGAACTTCAACAGTTTCTGATGCTAATTATAAGTGTCATTTTCTTTACATTTTCGCTGAAAATTAGTTGTTCTCACATGTACAATCAATGGTATTCGTATTCTCAGCATCCTTCTGTAGAGCCACATTTCTGTTGCCTGAATTTTTTCTTCATTTGTAATGTTATTTTCCAGTTTGCACTGCCATATAGGAGGACTGATATTACGTAACAATAACGTAATGTTTTCTTTGTTTATAACGAAATTCGTGTTTATTAAAATTTTGTTTAGCATTTGGAAAGCATATTTCGCTTTCGGAATTCAGTGTCACATTTCCCCTCCTATGTAAAAATAAAAAAAAAATTCTCGATATTGAACCTTTGTACTTGCTTGATGTTGGCATCTCCAATTTCGAATAGGAATGTTTGTTCTATGTCATATGCTAACAAACCTATTAATAAAAAGCAGTAATGGAAAATTTTAATTAAATGATTTCTCTCAATTTTCAGTGAGACTACTTCCAGCGATTCACGGTAAGCAATATTTCTGTTTTTATTTAATCCATAGTATTACATTTCTTATCAATATTTCAAATAGTTAAAAAGAAATATGAGGACAGTTATTTCGCAGAAAAATATGAAACCAAAAACTTACTGATTTTTTTAATAAAAATACCCCCTCAATTTTCCTTTGTATTTCAAATGAATACTTAACTGTTATTAAGATTTTTTTTTATTAATGTAATATTATATGTTTTCCAATTGTAATGTTTTTAATTTATCAAATATGAATCTGTAGAATAAAATTAATAAATAATCATCTCGAGTGTAGATGAGATTGAAAATGCTTTTCATTTTCTCTGATAATGGGCAGATCTCCTTTCACTATGTCCTGTGAGTACCAAATTTTCTAAAACCTCTTTCCTCATGATGTACCCTATAACATCAACAGTTTCTGATGCTAATTATAAGTGTCATTTTCTTTACATTTTCGCTGAAAATTAGTTGTTCACACATGTACAATCAATGGTATTCGTATACTCAGCATCCTTCTGTAGAGCCACCTTTCTATTGCCTGTTTTTTTCTTCATTTTCAATGTTATTTTCCAGTTTGCACTGCCATATAGTAGGACTGATATTACGTAACAATAACGTAATGTTTTCCTTGTTTATAACGAAATTCGTGTTTATTAAAATTTTGTTTAGCATATGGAAAACATATTTCGCTTTTGGAATTTGGTGTCACATTTTGCATCGTATATAAAAAAAAAATTCTCGATATTGAACCTTTGTACTTGCTTGATGTTGGCATCTCCAATTTCGAATAGGAATGTTTGTTCTATGTCATATGCTAACAAACCTATTAATAAAAAGCAGTAATGGAAAATTTTTAATTAAATGATTTCTCTCAATTTTCAGTGAGACCACTTCCAGTGATTCACGGTAAGCAATATTTCTGTTTTTATTTAATCCATAGTATTACATTTCTTATCAATATTTCAAATAGTTAAAAAGAAATATGAGGACAGTTATTTCGCAGAAAAATATGAAACCAAAAAACTTGCTGATTTTTTTAATAAAAATAACACATTAATTTTTTTTTTGTATTTTAAATGTATAATTAACTGATATTAAGATTTTTTATTAATGTAACATTATATCTTTTCAAATTGTAATGTTTTTAATTTATCGAATATTAATCTGTAGAATAAAATTAATAAATAATCATCTCGAGTGTAGATGAGATTGAAAATGCTTTTCATTTTCTCTGATAATGGGCAGATCTCCTTTCACTATGTCCTGTGAGTACCAAATTTTCTAAAACCTCTTTCCTCATGATGTACCCTATAACATCAACAGTTTCTGATGTTAATTATAAGTGTCATTTTCTTTCCATTTTCGCTGAAAATTAGTTGTTCACACATGAACAATCAATGGTATTCGTATTCTCAGCATCCTTCTGTAGAGCCACATTTCTGTCACTGAATTTTTTTTCATTTGTAATGTTATTTTACAGCTTGCACTGCCATATAGGAGGACTGATATTACGTAACAATAACGTAATGTTTTCTTTGTTTATAACGAAATTCGTGTTTATTAAAATTTTGTTTAGCATTTGGAAAGCATATTTCACTTTCGGTATTCAGTGTCACATTTCCACTCCTATGTAAAAATAAAAAAAAAATTCTCGATATTGAACCTTTGTACTTGTTTGATGTTGGCATCTCCAATTTCGAATAGGAATGTTTGTTCTATGTCATATGCTAACAAACCTATTAATAAAAAGCAGTAATGGAAAATTTTAATTAAATGATTTCTCTTAATTTTCAGTGAGACCACTTCCAGCGATTCACGGTAAGCAATATTTCTGTTTTTATTTAATCCATAGTATTACATTTCTTATCAATATTTCAAATAGTTAAAAAGAAATATGAGGACAGTTATTTCGCAGAAAAATATGAAACCAAAAAACTTGCTGATTTTTTTAATAAAAATAACACATTAATTTTTTTTTGTATTTTAAATGTATAATTAACTGATATTAAGATTTTTTATTAATGTAACATTATATCTTTTCAAATTGTAATGTTTTTAATTTATCGAATATTAATCTGTAGAATAAAATTAAAAAATAATCATCTCGAGTGTAGATGAGATTGAAAATGCTTTTCATTTTCTCTGATAATGGGCAGATCTCCTGTGAGTACCAAATTTTCTAAAACCTTTCCTCATGATGTACCCTATAACATCAACAGTTTCTGATGCTAATTATAAGTGTCATTTTCTTTACATTTTCGCTGAAAATTAGTTGTTCACACATGTACAATCAATGGTATTCGTATACTCAGCATCCTTCTGTAGAGCCACCTTTCTATTGCCTGTTTTTTTCTTCATTTTCAATGTTATTTTCCAGTTTGCACTGCCATATAGTAGGACTGATATTACGTAACAATAACGTAATGTTTTCCTTGTTTATAACGAAATTCGTGTTTATTAAAATTTTGTTTAGCATATGGAAAACATATTTCGCTTTTGGAATTTGGTGTCACATTTTGCATCGTATATAAAAAAAAAATTCTCGATATTGAACCTTTGTACTTGCTTGATGTTGGCATCTCCAATTTCGAATAGGAATGTTTGTTCTATGTCATATGCTAACAAACCTATTAATAAAAAGCAGTAATGGAAAATTTTAATTAAATGATTTCTCTTAATTTTCAGTGAGACCTCGTCCAGGTAAGCAATATTTCTGTTTTTATTTAATCCATAGTATTACATTTCTTATCAATATATCAAATAGTTAAAAAAAATATGTGGACAATTATTCCGCAGAAAAATATGAAAACCAAAAAACTTACTGATTTTTTTAATAAAAATACCTTATCAATTTTCTTTTGTATTTCACAGGTATACTTAACTGATATTAAGATTTTTTATTAATTTAACATTATATATTTTCCAATTGCTATGTTTTTAATATATCAAATATTAATCTGTAGAATGAAATTAATGAATAATCATAAATAATTGTAGTGTAGATGAGATTGAAAATGCTTCTCATTCTCTCTGATAACTTGACATATTTATATGTGTTCTCGATAAACTTTTTTAGAAGGTCGTGATGCTGTCGCTGATGTTACTACTATGTTTGATCATTCTGGAAAGGATTAAGTGATTCGTCATAAATCTCATTCATTCTTGGAACATAAGCTAAAATTAAGTGCATGTTTGTTTTGTTCTGTAATCATGCATTCGTTTATTTCTTTTTTAATCCGTACAGTAACAAGTATCATTTGATACGCGGAATTCGGATGATCTGCCATCGGAGAGGAAGCAAAAATACTTATCGCGCTCTCCGACTTCTCCACAATAATGAAATAAATAAATATCTAGAGATCCAGTAATGCATGGCATTTGAGATTAAATTGTCATGATTCAAAGAAAATGTAAGGGGAATGGCAGCGAATTATGCAATAGATACAATTTAGTATAATTTGGATTTAAGTGTAACCAAATAAATAGCAAATTAAAGAAAGAATATTACTATTCAGATGATTTGATTCAATTTTCAGTCGTAAGTCTTCCAATAATCCATGGTGAATAATATATTCTGCTTTTATTTCATCCATGATTTCATAATACCTTCGCGTACATCAAATGGTTAAAACAAAATAAAATTATGCGACAATGATTTCATGTTAAAATTGAATCAAGATAAGATTTCTTGGGAAATATATTTTAAAGTAATACTACGTCAAAATTAAAATTATTATTGCAATACTAATGTTGAAAGCATATAAATTTGGTTGATTTTGTTCGGCGACATATCAAACCCTAAGAAAAACATATAAGGAGAAATATATAGCATTGAAATATAGAAAGTGCATATTAATATATTTTAGAATATAATGCTAATAAACAATCAACAAAGCAAAATCGAATATTTCTAATAAAATGTATTGACACAATTTACAGTGGCACATCAGCCAATAATTCATATTGAATTACATCTTTTGCTTTATGCATTATCCATGATGATATAGTTGTTGTGATTATATGAAATAATTAATGTGATCTTGCTCTAAATTTTCTGTAACCCCTTGCGTCCTAGTGGCTTCCCGCCTTGCTTGGGGTGAAATGCTTAAAAAAAAATATATATATATATATATATTATTGACAAAATTTATTTCACGTGTAAGTTTCTGAAACGATTAGTAAAACTCTGTGCTGTTCCTGGAAAGTTATTTTCCGGTATTCATCACCATTAGGATCATCTAGTTTATGAAATATTATCCACATGTAACACTATATCGCTATTATATATTAATTTAAAGGATAAAACATTTGTTTCTCGCTTTCACAGAATCTGATCGCTGTTATGATCTGATTCAAGTGCACATAACAGGATCATTCATTATCGGCTACGCTTTTTTGCATGTTGGGCATCGTGCGATGAAGTCTCTCCATTCTACCATTATTTGAAGATGGTAAAATGAAGTAGTCATGTGATCAGCCCTTAGCTTTTCTACTGATTCTTTCATAATACAATTTACCTTATAATATCGTTATCCAAATCTATCTGTAATGGAGCACCGAAACGATGATGAAATAATACATCAATAAATGAGCGGTGACTCTATTTTTTTTATTTATTTATCAGAAACAGCAAATGCTCAAGCCATTCGCTATACAAATCGATAAAACTGACTAGGTTTTGAGTATCTGATAATGAGCAGGGGTATGTTCCTGTTACACAAATTACAATCTTGGCAAAAATGTATGGGGACAGGTCAGTTTCCTGCATCTTAGGATTAACTTTTTAGAGATTTCTAAACTGACAAGGAGCACACGTGCCAATATTATTGACAGTGTCCTTATATATACAGAGGCTAAAAATATTTGAACCGCATAACCCTTTTCTATTCCGACGTGTCCATTTTAACCATGATACTGTCGCATAATCGTCATACGAGAATGATTTGTGACATAATCATACGGTAGGTTCTTCGTCTGAATGATTAGAGAGTTTAGCTGTCAGAACTTGATAGTAGTAGTTATCTTAGACATAGGTTCATTTACTGTGTTTTCCTGCTCTTGAGAAGAACAAAAATATTACAGATGATTTCTTAACGACTTCTCGTGTCACGCATGGCTGGTTTCACAGGCGTTTGCATCTCTATTTTTATGGTTTATGTTACTGTCCCTTCTCGTCTGCTCAAAGTTGTCTTTTGACGCAGATCCAGACTTATTAGCAACCCACTAAGTATCCTCGTCGAAGCCTAAAGATTTGATTAGTATTGTTAACAATAACAATCGGTAGCTTACTCTGGTTATTCGTCCTTACTAACGCATTTGTAAGCGAAGTACATGGAGAATTACTTAAATATTCCGAGGCTATTCCGAGTCTAGGTAATGTGGTTGTTATTTTTCCAATTTTATCACAATTTTAACCAAATATATAGTGAATGACTGGGGTTTTAATATGGTGTTGAAGCTCATCTGCGCTATATTCGATATAAGGAAATACTCTTCTAAAATATGTATGTAACTTTGATGCCTAATGCTCCTAAATCATAGTAAATACGTGCGTCACTTTCCTGCAAGTAATCAGTATCTAGAATAATATTTATGTTCAAATTAACAGTTGCATAAAATCCATGTTTAGCTATTAGTCGATCGACTTGAAAATTTATAGCCACATACAGGTCAACCTTCAAGTACGTGCCGTTACCTGTTTACAGATTTATTTTCTATCCTCAAGACTAGGCTTATTCTTAATAGGTCAAACCCCCTCTTATATATAATTGAATTCTTTACTCCTATATCTAACAGCGCTCTATACGTAACGCCATCAATGTATTTTGTAATATTACTAAGATTTTCCATAAAATAAGTATCATACATAATTTCCCTGAACACTGCAATGCCTCTGCATGTGCCCTTATGACTAAATCTCCAACTGGTGCTCTGTGCATCGCCCGAAAATATTCAGCCAAACGGATGGGCCCAAATTATTCGATCAGGTGCAAGATCCGAAAAAATTCGATCAGGCGGCTGATTTTCCCTATACCGATTTCTTTGCAGGGGCACATGGCTAGGTAGATAAGACCTACCTTATTCTATATTTCTATATACTGCATGTACATTGAGCGTCTGTCTATGATGATTGAATTTTATCGCCTTGTGAAGTTTGCATTCCAAACCTGGGAAAGGATCGACGTCTTCGGGATCGCTATCCGAGCAGCAACTTCTGGGGTTGTCGGGTCCTGATTAATTGTCTGAGTTTCTACTATAAACTATTATGTAAACCGCTTATGAACATAATAAAGTTTTCTCTATTTCCGGATCCTTATTATGACCAAGTGCAAAGGCATTGTCAGACAGGACCTAAAATTTATTTGCATTTTTCTATATTTTCCATGTCTAGTTGAGAGATATTAAATAATTGATGTAACAATTGCAGAGGATATATGGTTTTCCAGGATCATCGGTCAGACATCACTCTCAACTCCCTCTCTGTAGCAACTGGATTTATACAAGGATATTTTCCACTAAGTCCGTCGATATCCCGTAGATACTTGATACGCAAAGAGGGTATCTTCCTCCGGTATATCAATATAAAAATATTTTTCTAAAATTCTCCTCATTGCTTTATATATTTTATTGGATCCATCGAAACATGTGATATATGAAAGAGAGATAACAGCTAATGGATCAATTCCGAATCCCACATAACATCACATTTTATTACTACGTGAGCAGTGTATTCGCATACATAGAGGGGTCCATGAAAAAAAAAGTACATAAAGAAGTCAGACACTTACTGGGATTTTCATTTTTCTCACAAGATCAAATAATTCAGGACATTTGACATTGCACTTTAATTGTCGTGGATTACATCAAATACGGTCATTCAAAGTGTAAATATCAATGCAAAAATTACGAAAGAAAATAGTGTATGATTTGGAATTAAGTTTACATATGTAACAATAAAGTAAAAACTGCATATATCTAATCAGAAGTTTTATTTCAATTTTCAGGGCCACGACCTACATTAAACTATTGGGAGTAATATCTCGTGATTTTATTTCATCTAGATATTAGAAAAATAATATTTGAGAAATCGAGATAGAGAATAAATAGGGGGAGTATTTTCAGTCTGCCCCAGGATAATCCCAAAAGAAGAAGCATATGATGAATATCACTTGAAATATTGTCTTTCCAGAATTAATATAATTCAGTATATGTTATTTATATTCGAATTTATTACAGTGGCCTTCAATATATTTTTCTATTTATTATCTATCATTCGCTATGCAATTCAAACGTTTAACAGCGAAATATGTGGAAATAGTTTAAATGTTTATACAGTGATAACTCTTGATATGAGTGTTGACGCTTATAATTAGACTAGCTGCAAATAAGCACGTCAGCAAATTCGGATATTTATATTTCCTTCAGAAGACGACGAAATTCAACTGCTTGTCAGAGGTTAGCTATATAGACGGAGAATTGACATTGTAAAAGATATTACCCGATACAATGTTGAAAGTTATTTTAAATGAAGATGCCAATAATGTTTTGTTTATTAAATGAAATACTATTGTTGAAAAAGAAAATGTGTGTGGAGCGAATTTAGTAAAATTTGAATTTAAGTTAACTCAATTGTCTATAACGTAAAAGCTGCATATATAATCAGATGTTTTATTTCAATTTTCAGTGGCACGTCCTCAATTAATCTATCGTGAGTAATATCTCGTGATTTTATTTCATCTTTCATTTGATAATTCCTATGTGTATATCAAATAGCTAAATAAAAATAAAAATTATGTGACAAGGATTGGAGTTAAATTAAGTTTGAATGTAATGTTACGTAAAATTCGATATTAATGATTCAAGTAACAAAATTTATAGTATATATGGAGTCGGTATATATCATTAAAATATACAAAATGCAAACTAATATTATTTAGAATATTATGTTAACAAAATATCAGGCGAAAAAATCGAATAATTTTATCTAATAAAATGATCCAAATTCTGAGGGACATTAGCCATTTATTCCTATCAGTAATATCTTGCTCATCATATATCACCCATGATGTAAAATTCGAATCATAATGTGAAATGATTTACGAAAATTGTAAAATCCCTTAAATGGTTAGTAAAGTTTTCCCTCATTAGGTTCGCCGGTAATTCTACTGAATATTTGAAATTAATCTTAACTTGGCTTGGTTACATGTTTATATATTTCTCTTGTGCAAATTAATATACTTTAGAATATTTACTAACAAATTAAGAGGCAAGAATATCGAATATTTTTAATCAAAAAGAGTGATCCAAATTCTGAGAGATATAAGGCATTTATTGCTATTAGTTAATATCTTGCTCAGGATATATAACCCATAATGTCATAATTCGCTTGATAATGGGAAATAATGAAAGAGAAATATAAAATTCCTTTAGTAAAGATGTTCTCTCATTGGATTCTCCAGTATTTCAACTGAATTTTTGATATTACTCGAATTTCGCTTGGTTATATGTTTATATATTTCTCTTGCTATTTTGTAATTCCTGGAAATTCTCATTCGAGGATCGAAATTAAGAAAACTACAACTGATATTTCGATAAAATTAAGTATATTTTTATTTTCTCAAAGAATACGTGAAATATTTAGAGGTTATTTTCGCTCATTTTTCTTTCTTTTCTGTAGGTTGCACGCGTACTGTCGCTGATGTTGTGTTTGTGCTTGATAATTCTGGAAGTGTTGGAAAGGGAAATTTCCGTAAGGTTAAGAATTTCCTGATGAATATCATTCACTATTGGAAAATAGGCCGGAATAAAGTGCGTGTTGCTGTTGTTTCATTCAGTAATTATGCATACGTTAACTTCCATCTTAATCGTTACAGAAACAAATATCAATTGAAACGCGCAATTAGAAAGCTCAAATATCGAAGTGGAGGTACAAATACCCATTACGCACTTAAACTCCTCCACAAAGTGTTTCGAAGAACAAACGGAGATCGAAAATATGCGCCGAATATCGCCATTGTTGTTACAGACGGGAAATCATCTAATTCAAGGTTAACTAAAAAGGCGGCTCGCAGTCTTAAAAGAAGAGGGGTCCGCATGTTCAGTGTTGCTATTGGACATAAAGTTCGTCGTTCAGAACTGAGAGCTATCGCAAGTTACCCGAAATATAAGCATATGTTTACTGTTGGCAATTTCAATGCTTTGAAAACGATTACAAGGGGAATTACGAAGAATATTTGTCAAGGTATGTGTATGTTAATTATTTTTCACTTTGAAATTCGAACATTTTCTAACAGCTTCTTATTTAAATTATATTTGCGGCGAACGAATTATTCAAATGAAATCATAGGAAATATCATAAACAGTATTAGAAAAATAACATCTGAGAATTTGAGATACAGAATAAATCAGGAGAGTCTTTTCACTCTGCCCCAGGATAATCACGAAAGTAGCAGTGTATGATGAATGTCATTTGAAATATTGTCTTTCCCGAATTAATATAATTCAATATATTTTATTTATATTCGAATTTATTACGGTTGCCTTCAATATAATGTGCTATTTATTATCTGTCATTTGCTATGTAATTCAAACGTTTGACAGCGAAATATGTGAAAATAATTTAAACGTCTTTACAGTGATGAATATTGATATGAGAGTTGCCGCTTATAATTAGAGTAGTTGCAAATAAGCACGTCAACAATTTGGATATTTATATTTCGTTCACAAGATCACTGAATATATCTGCAGCGAATTTTGTAAAACTTGAATTTAAGTTTAATTCAATTATTGATAAAGTAAAAAACTGCATATATCTAATCAGATGTTTTATTTCAATTTTCAGTGGCACGTCCTCAATTAATCTATCGTGAGTAATATCTCGTGATTTTATTTCATCTTTCATTTGATAATTCCTATGTGTATATCAAATAGCTAAATAAAAATAAAAATTATCTGACAAGGATTGGATTTAAATTAAGTTTGGATGTAATATTACGTAAAATTCGAAATTAATGATTCAAGTAGCAAAATGTATAGTATATATGGAGAGGGTATATATCATTGAAATATACAAAATTCAAACTAATATATTTTAGAATATTATACTAACAAACTATCAGGCGAAAAAATCGAATAATTTAATCTAATAAAATGAACCGAATTCTGACGGATATTAGCCATTTATTCCTATCAATAATATCTTGCTCATCATATATCACCCATGATGTCATAATTCGAATCATAATGTGAAATGATTAAAGAAAATTGTAAAATTGCTGAAAAGGAAGTAAATATTTACCTCATTATATTATCCAGTATTTCAACCGAATATTTGATATTACTCTTAATTTCGCTCGGTTATATGTTTATATATTTCTCTTGTAATTTTTTAATTCATCGAAATATTCTTTCGAGGAACAAAATTAAGAAAACTTCAACTGGCACTTAGAGAAAATTAAATATTTTTTTCATATTTTCTCAAAGATTACGTGAAATATTTAAAAATTATTTCGCTCTTGTTTACTTTTTTGTAGGTTGTAAGCATGCTGTCGCTGATGTTGTGTTTGTGCTTGATAATTCTGGAAGTGTTGGAAAGGGAAATTTCCGTAAGGTTAAGAAATTCCTGATAAATATCATTCGCTCTTGGAAAATAGGCCGTAAAAAAGTGCGTGTTGCTGTTGTTTCATTCAGTAATCGTGCATACGTTAACTTCCATCTTAATCATTATAGAAACAAATATCAATTGGAAAGCGCAATTAAAAAGCTCAAGTATCTAAGAGGAGGTACAAATACCCATTACGCACTTAAACTCCTCCACAAAGTGTTTCGAAGAACAAACGGAGATCGAAAATATGCGCCGAATGTCGCCATTGTTGTCACAGACGGGAAATCATCTAATTCAAAGTTAACTAAAATGACGGCTCACAGTCTTAAAATAAGAGGTGTCCGGATGTTCACTGTTGCTGTTGGACATAAAGTTCGTCGTTCAGAACTGAGATCTATGGCAAGTTACCCGAAATATAAGCATATGTTTACTGTTGGCTATTTCAGTACTTTGAAAATGATTACAAGGGGAATTACGAGGAATATTTGTCAAGGTATGTGTACGCTTATTATTTTTCACTTTGAAATTCGAAAATTCTCTAACAGACTATTATTTGAATTATGTTTTCGGCGAACGAATTATTCAAATGAAATCTTAGGAAATCTCATCAGCATTATTAGAAAAATAACATCTGAGATTTCGAGTTATAGAAAAAATCAGGGAGTATCTTCATTCTGCCCCAGGATGATCACGAAAGTAGCAGTTTATGATGAATTTCCCTTGAAATATTGTCTTTCCCGAATTAATATAATTCAATATATGTTATTTATAATTGAAGTTATTACGGTTGCCTTGAATATAATTTGCTATTTATTATCTATCATTCACTATGCAATTCAAACGTTTGACAGCGAAATAATTTGAAAGAGCTTAAATGATTATACAATGATGAATGTTGACATGAGTGTTGCCTTTTATAGTCAGGCTAGGTGCAAATAAGTACGTCAGCAAATTCGGATATTTATATTTCTTTCAAAAGATGACTGAATTCAACTGCTTGTCAAAGGCTAGCCATAGAGACGGCGAGATGACATTGTAAAAAAATATGACCCGATCCAATATTGAACGTTATTTTAGATGACTATGCCAATAATGTTTCGTTACTTAAATAAAATGCTATCGTTGGAAGAGAAAATATATGTGCAGCGTATTTTGTAAATTTTGAATTTAAGTTTAATTCAATTATCGATAAAGTAAAAAACTACATATATCTAATCAGATGTTTTATTTCAATTTTCAGCGGCACGTCCTCAATTAATCTATCGTGAGTAATATCTCGTGATTTTATTTCATCTTAGATTTGATAATTCCTATGTGCTTATCAAATAGCTAAATAAAAAATAAAAGTTATGTGACAAGGATTCGATTTAAATTAAGTTGAAAGTTTTGTTACGTAAATTTAATTCACATAAAACATGTATATTATACATGGGGCTGGTATATATATTATTGAAATATACAAAGTGAATATTAATATACTTTAGAATATTATTCTAACAAACTATCAGGCGGGAAAATCGAATATTTTAATCTAATAAACTTGTCCAATTTCTGTAGAACATAAGCCATTTATTCCTATTAGTTAACATCTTGCTCACCATATGTCACCCATGATATCATAATTCCTATGATAATATGAAATAATGAACGAGAAATGTCAATTCCTTTTAGTATAGATGTTCCCTCATTAGATTCACTAAGGTTTCAGTGGAATATTTGACATTACCATCAATTTTGCTTCGTTACATCATTATATATTTCTTTTGTAATTTTGTAATTCATCGAAATATTCTTTCAAGGATTGAAATTAAGAAAACTTCAACTGGTATTTTGAAAAAATGAAATATTCTTTTCATATTTTCTCACAGATTACATTTAAAGATTATTTTCGCTATTCTTTCATTTTTTGTAGGTTGTAAGTATGCTGTCGCTGATGTTGCGTTTGTGCTTGATAATTCTGGAAGTGTTGGAAAGGGAAATTTCCGTAGGGTTAAGAAATTCCTGATAAATATCATTCGCTCTTGGAAAATAGGCCGTAAAAAAGTGCGTGTTGCTGTTGTTTCATTCAGTAATCGTGCATACGTTAACTTCCATCTTAATCATTATAGAAACAAATATCAATTGGAAAGCGCAATTAAAAAGCTCAAGTATCTAAGAGGAGGTACAAATACCCATTACGCACTTAAACTCCTCCACAAAGTGTTTCGAAGAACAAACGGAGATCGAAAATATGCGCCGAATGTCGCCATTGTTGTCACAGACGGAAATCATCTAATTCAAAGTTAACTAAAATGACGGCTCACAGTCTTAAAATAAGAGGTGTCCGGATGTTCACTGTTGCTGTTGGACATAAAGTTCGTCGTTCAGAACTGAGATCTATGGCAAGTTACCCGAAATATAAGCATATGTTTACTGTTGGCTATTTCAGTACTTTGAAAATGATTACAAGGGGAATTACGAGGAATATTTGTCAAGGTATGTGTACGCTTATTATTTTTCACTTTGAAATTCGAAAATTCTCTAACAGACTATTATTTGAATTATGTTTTCGGCGAACGAATTATTCAAATGAAATCTTAGGAAATATCATCAGCATTATTAGAAAAATAACATCTGAGATTTCAAGTTATAGAAAAAATCAGGGAGTATCTTCATTCTGCCCCAGGATGATCACGAAAGTAGCAATTTTTGATGAATTTCACTTGAAATATTGTCTTTCCCGAATTAATATAATTCAATATATGTTATTTATAATTGAAGTTATTACGGTTGCCTTGAATATAATTTGCTATTTATTATCTATCATTCACTATGCAATTCAAACGTTTGACAGCGAAATAATTTGAAAGAGCTTAAATGATGATACAATGATGAATGTTGACATGAGTGTTGCCTTTTATAGTCAGGCTAGCTGCAATTAAGCACGTCAGCAAATTCGGATATTTATATTTCTTTCACAAGATGACTGAATGAATTCAACTGCTTGTCAAAGGCTAGCCATATAGACGGCGAGATGACATTGTAAAAAAATATGACCCAATCCAATATTGAACGTTATTTTAGATGACTATGACAATAATGTTTTGTTGCTTAAATAAAATGCTATCGTTGGAAGAGAAAATATATGTGCAGCGTATTTTGTAAATTTTGAATTTAAGTTTAATTCAATTATCGAAAAAGTAAAAAAGTACATATATCTAATCAGATGTTTTATTTCAATTTTCAGTGGCACGTCCTAGATTAATCTATCGTGAGTAATATCTCGTGATTTTATTTCATCTTTCATTTGATAATTCCTATGTGTATATCAAATACTAAATAAAAATAAAAATTATGTGACAAGGATTGGATTTAAATTAAGTTTGAATGTAATGTTACGTAAAATTCGAAATTAATGATTCAAGTAACAAAATATATAGTATATATAGAGAGGGTATATATCATTGAAATATACAAAATGCAAACTAATATACTTTAGAATATTTTACTAACAAACTATCAGGCGAAAAAATCGAATAATTTAATCTAATAAAATGAACCAAATTCTGATGGATATAAGCCATTTATTCCTATCAGTAATATCTTGCTCATCATATATCACCCATGATGTAAAATTCGAATCATAATGTGAAATGATTTACGAAAATTGTAAAATCCCTTAAATGGTTAGTAAAGTTTTCCCTCATAAGGTTCGCCGGTAATTCTACTGAATATTTGAAATTAATTTTAACATGGCTTGGTTACATGTTTATATATTTCTCTTGTGCAAATTAATATACTTTAGAATATTTACTAACAAATTAAGAGGCAAGAATATCGAATATTTTTAATCAAAAAGAGTGATCCAAATTCTGAGAGATATAAGGCATTTATTGCTATTAGTTAATATCTTGCTCAGGATATATAACCCATAATGTCATAATTCGCTTGATAATGGGAAATAATGAAAGAGAAATATAAAATTCCTTTAGTAAAGATGTTCTCTCATTGGATTCTCCATTATTTCAACTGAATTTTGATATTACTCGAATTTCGCTTGGTTATATGTTTATATATTTCTCTTGCTATTTTGTAATTCCTGGAAATTCTCATTCGAGGATCGAAATTAAGAAAACTACAACTGATATTTCGATAAAATTAAGTATATTTTTTATTTTCTCAAAGAATACGTGAAATATTTAGAGGTTATTTTCGCTCATTTTTCTTTCTTTTCTGTAGGTTGCACGCGTACTGTCGCTGATGTTGTGTTTGTGCTTGATAATTCTGGAAGTGTTGGAAAGGGAAATTTCCGTAAGGTTAAGAATTTCCTGATGAATATCATTCACTATTGGAAAATAGGCCGGAATAAAGTGCGTGTTGCTGTTGTTTCATTCAGTAATTATGCATACGTTAACTTCCATCTTAATCGTTACAGAAACAAATATCAATTGAAACGCGCAATTAGAAAGCTCAAATATCGAAGTGGAGGTACAAATACCCATTACGCACTTAAACTCCTCCACAAAGTGTTTCGAAGAACAAACGGAGATCGAAAATATGCGCCGAATATCGCCATTGTTGTTACAGACGGAAATCATCTAATTCAAGGTTAACTAAAAAGGCGGCTCGCAGTCTTAAAAGAAGAGGGGTCCGCATGTTCAGTGTTGCTATTGGACATAAAGTTCGTCGTTCAGAACTGAGAGCTATCGCAAGTTACCCGAAATATAAGCATATGTTTACTGTTAGCAATTTCAATGCTTTGAAAACGATTACAAGGGGAATTACGAAGAATATTTGTCAAGGTATGTTCATTTGCACTTTTGAAAAAAAATGTCTAATAAGATTGATTTAATCACTGTCTATTTCCAACCATCCTCGCTAATCCATTTGGAAAGTAAATCATTCAATTAGCTCTACGCACACGAATTGTTTGCGATGTGGAATCAAATAAACATGTATCTGAATTGAACAGTATTTTTTCTTAACATTTTCCCGCTGCACATTAATTATTTTTGTCTGTATACAAACCACGGACAGTTCACTTTAGTTGCATTAATTTTTCGAAAGAAGATTTATTTGAAACTAGATATTGACTGATATATTAAAATTAATTTAAAGAAATATTATTTTAATATTTTGGAATGAAATATGTTCATCTTGAATCTCCCGATTTTAGACGAATTTTACGAATTACTCTTTCATTATTATGTTTTTTGTTCTCATATATTTCAATGTATGATGTGAACGATTGTTTATATTACATTTGTTGTTATTTTGTCTTGTTATGTATTATCTATCATTCGGTATAAGAGTAAAACATCTGACTTCAAAATGTGTTAAATATTTGAAGTTTTTGCAAAGTTTCGATTACTGAATGACATATTTGCTGATTATACATACACGAGTTCTATTTCAGCACGTCAGTTATATCGAATATATTAATTTCTTTACGAATACGACTCTATCAAACTGCTCGTCAAGTATTAGATGAAATATCTTAATATTTCTTATTCTTTTTGCTCAGGCCTGATTCTCACCCAATTTCAGATATATATATATATATATATATATATATATATATATATATATATATATATATATATATATATATATATATATATATATATATATATATTTATATATTTATATATATATACCTACAATATCCCTGCGATATAATGATGCTTAATCAGGAGCAAAAAATACTAAGATGTTGTATGGTATTGTATTTAAACTCAGCACACGTTAATAACACTCAACACAAGCTCTTTGTTATATAGACCACAAAATATTTTGTAATCAGCTCGGCCCTTCTAATAAATAACATTTGTTCCAATATTGCATTTCGTTTGAGACGATTTTTCGATAAAATTCTTGTAGCTTATTTAAAATCGTTTCGTTGAAAGTTTATAATATATTTGCATCGAAATGTGAACAACAATTATGTTTGTATAATTTCGAATTACGTGTAAAATATTCATCAGCAATTCAATAAACGAATATTTCTAATAAAATGATTTATTACAATTTTTCAGTGGCACCTTATCCAATACCCAACCGTGAGTATATCTTTCTGCTTTCTTTTTATCCATGATTTAATAATTCCTATGATTAATTCTAAGAATTTGTAAATCTATCTTCATTTGACAGTTATGACGTAAAATTAAAAAATATATAAATATTTCTAAACGAAAGATTTGCTGAGACTTTCAATGCGACATCAACGAATATCGTTGTTAATTAAATATCTCTTGCGTTTTATTCAAATCTGTGGGCACATTGTTACTGCAATTATATGAAAGAATTAACTAGAAATATAGAACTAACAAAGATTATTTCGCAAGACAATTCCTGGAAAGTTTAAATAATTATCTCCTTAACAAATTCGTCTATGTTTCTAATGTATATTTGGTGGATATTGACGTTAAAGGTTTTACATAGTATCTCAAAGATAACTTGAAATTTCTAAATATAATTTATTTCATTTTGCCTGCTTTTCTCTAAGCTGTAAGCATATAGTCATTGCTTTTCTGTTTGTGCTTGATAATTCTGGAAGTGTGGGTATTGTAAATTTCCGTAAGGTTCAGCAGTTCGGGATAAATATCATCCTCTCTTGGGAAATAAGACATAATAAGGTGCGTTTTGCAGTTGTTTCATTCAGTAATAGTAGCACACTTAAATTCATGTAGTCGGGGCACCATTGAAAATGTCCAGAGTAGATTCCATGAATATATTCATAGAAAAAACATAGAAACTGCATTACGCCAGTGAGAAATTGATTGGTGTCGAGAACCCAAGCCAGGACCAATCACATTGCATTTTTTTTTTTTTGATTTTGTCGAGAACCTCGAGATGACCTGCGAGAACACCAAACCATATATGGCAACAGTATTCCATACATGGATTAATGGTAGATTTGTAGATATTAAGGATTGACTCAGACTAGTAAAACCTTCTGGCGCGACAGACGGAACAAAGTTTCCTTGCAGCAATATATTCAGTGTAGTTGGTCTATCTCAGTTCAGTGCCGGACTTGAGACCAATAAGGCGCAACGAGGCTCTTTCGTGGAGTTGAGCGCCAACCATACTGTTAGGAGTCAGAGATGTTACTCTATGCTGAGTAAATGACAGAAGTTTCGTTTTAGATTCATTGAAATTCACAAGCCATTTTATTTCCTGCACCAGTCAATCACAGATTGGAGTTCGTTTTCGTGACCAACTGCCAGGTTGACTTTGCCCACACTGCCGGATATACTACTCAAACTGAAGTAAATCGTAGTGTCGTCTGCGTAGAATCGAGAAATCAAATGAAATGTTTGACGATTTAAAGTTAGTTCCGAACAGAGCTATTATATTACGAAACTTATCAAAAAGGAATGATTCCACACGCAGAAGCTGGTATGAATATCACGGATTTTGGAGAAGGAAATGTTAAAGGTTTAGGCGATTTTTGAACTGGTTTATTTTGATATTTTGAGTTGCTTATGATCATGTTGGTAAGGAAAAGGCCCAAATTAATAGAAGCAGTCGGTCATCAAATGTGGCATGAGCAGAAAGGAACTGGTGCAGACTGCAACATCATGCGGTCTCAGGGTTTCCCACCGGAGGTGAATGCAGGAACAAACATCCACGCGCGATATGTCACTGCAAGAGCGCCGATATTATGCAACCGTTGATCAGAGCAGCCTCTCAAGACTCTACGCAAGAATCCGTGCTCCTAACTACCAGTCGGAAACAGCAACCAGAAAACTGCCAACCCTATATACTAAGTATGAAGACACGTTGCCGCAAAACATCAGAAGAGATTCAGGACAGCACTACTCTTAAGACCAGAGAAAATGAAAGGATCCGGGAATCCCTTCTGGAAACAAGGGATGAGCTTCTACTCCCGTTCAAAAGAAAGGGGAGGAATATTAACCGGGCGATAGGAAAGCCTATCTACTCCTATTTAAAAAAAAAAAAAGGCGAGAAATGACAACAACAATAACAACGGGTACGGAAACACTGCTGGAGGGCTAAGCTGGACTGGAAGTCACGGCGCGAATTATGTATGTATAGATCGCTCGTGGGCTAGAGGTCTAAAGCTCACATTGGAGGAGAGGGCAAAGTGAGATGCTTGAACATTCGCTACACTCGTCCATATTGATTGTTATAGATGGGTAAAGGAGAAGCATATGAATCGGAGAGGCTATGGATAGGGAATCGGGAATGTAAATATAAAATTTTGACTAAGTTAAAGTCCAACATTCACTTCTTGTAGAATAGAAAATTCAAAGGTCTGTGAGCCACGCTTAAATAAATAACGACCAATGCTTTTATGAATCCCTTAAATCGCCAAAGACATAATATTCAAAGTTTCAAACGAGGTAAAAAGAGATAACATGAATTCAATTTAAAAAACAAAATAAAAAAAGGAAAGGAACGTTAGTAACGAGGGAAACAGAGAGGGACAGAGAGAAACTAAAATAAATACAGAATTAAATTCGAGAGATACATAAAAGGATGACGGACGAGGAAATTGTCTCGCGTGGCTATTTAGACGAAGGTTTAGGCCAGATGTACCCAAATTATCAATAAATTAACTGCATATTTCTAATCAGATGATTTACCTTAATTTTCAGTGATACCTCTTCCAAACATCTATTGTAAGTATTATCTTCTGCCTTTATTTCATCTATGATTTGATCATTCCTACGTGTATATCAAATAGCTAAAAGAAAATAAAAATTACGCTACAATGATATTGCATAAAAATGACTCAATTTAATTGCGAAACTAAATTGAAAATGATATTACGTTTAATTCAAAGTCATTTATTCAAATAATAATTTTAAGTGCATACAACGAGAAGGTCTATCATTGAAATATAGTAAATGCTACACTTTAGTGTGGTATGCTAACATACTATCAACTAAGCAAAACTGCATATTTATAATCAAAAGAATTGACGCAATTTTAAGTGGTTCATCACACAACAATTCATTTTGAATCATATCTTCAGCATTATATGTTATCCATGTAGCTATAGGTTCTATGATTATATGAAATAATTTAACGAGAAATATGACGTTGACAAAACTAATACCACATATAAATTCCTGAAAGGTTTATTAAAATGCGCCATTATAAAATTTCCTTTGTACATAAAATGTATATTTAGGGGACACTACCGTTAATATTACTATGGAACAATTTACATGTTCCTCTTAATATCACTTGAATATTTTAATGTTTTTTTCATTTTTTTTTTCATTTACTTTTTGTAGTTTGCAAGAATGCAGTCGCTGATGTTGTGTTTGTGCTTGATACTTCTGGAAGTGTTGGAATTGTAAATTTCCGTAAGGTTCATCAATTCGTGATAGGTATCATTAACTCTTGGAAAATAGGCCGTAATAAAGTGCGTGTTGCTGTTATTTCATTCAGCAATTATGCATTCGTTAACATCTATCCTAATCAATTCAGTAACAAATATTATTTGATAAGGGCAATTAAGAAGATTAAATATCGCAGTGGAGGTACAAATACCTACAACGCCCTTAGACTCCTCGGCATTCTGTTTCAAAGAAGATACGGGGATCGAAAATATGCACCGAATATCGCCATCGTAGTCACTGACGGAAAATCATCTAATTCGATTCTTACTAAATTGGAGGCTGACAAAATTAAAAAAAAAGGTGTCGAAATGTTCATCGTTCCTGTTGGACGCAGAGTTTGTCGTTCGGAAGTGAGAGCCATGGCAAGTTACCCGGAATATAAGCACATAATTAGTGTTGGCAAATTTAATGCCTTGAGAAAGATTACGTGGAGAATTACGAAAAATATCTGTCAAGGTATGTGTATGTTCAATTATTTAAAACCAACCGATATAAGATTGTCTTATGTCAACCTAGTAATCTTAATACTTTTGCCATATAAATAATTCTCATTTCATCGGTTTCCTTTATGTTGTATGAAATACGTTAACCTGAAGTCGGGTGTCGGGGCTTCTTTGTCATCTACATTGTTTTGTTTAGCTGCATGTTCTGTTTTCATGTTTCATTGCAATGCATATATAAGTGCATTTTTTATGTATTATCACTGCATGATATTCAATAATAAAAAGAATGATTTACAACGAAATCCTAACGATTAAAATCAAAATTATTACATTAATAATAATTATATATATTTTAAAACACACACACACATATATATATATATATATATATATATATATATATATATATATATATATATATATATATATATATATATATATATATATATATATATATATATATATGAAAATTTCTCCGATTTAACCAGTAGAAAAGACATTTTTTATGAATAAAAATGACAATAGGAAAACTAGTAATTGCTGACGCGTTTCGTTCAATGTGGACTTTATCAAACAAAATACGAAATATGTATTTTGCTTTGATAAAGTCCACATTAAGCGAAACGCTTTAGCAAATTACTAGTTTTCCTATTTCTTTTTTATTAATATATATATATATATATATATATATATATATATATATATATATATATTAAGTCTACTGCATGAAAATCAAAACCATACTACAATAAAATGATTAGTTCGTTGGAATTTCCTAGAAACAATAATTCAATATAAATTGTTAACGTTCATTTTTATTTCTTTTCGTCAATTTACATTAGTATACTTAAACTTATAGGAGTAGGTAGGTGCCCCTAGCGAACAGTTTAAAGTCCTAACTGGTCGGTAGTAAATGTTATCATTTGTTTCCTGTTTAGTATTCAGTTTCCAGTCCCTTCTAAAGTCTTCTCGTTTTCATTCAGTCCGTTTAGTCTTTCTAGATTTCAAAAATCGCTACATTTTAGTGTCATTATCGTCTTGTTTGGGGTAAATGTATTAAAGAAAGAGAACGAACATTCGGAAACTGCAACTCAAATTATAACTTTGAAATATATCGAAGCATTTGGTGTATTTGCGATATAACATCAGTTGAAGTGAAATAGTTTCTGTGAATAGTTAGACATTCACTGTTATGAACTCGTTTGCAGAATCAAATATTTTTATTTGTTCCAAAATCTAACCAACAAAATTGTGAACAGCGCAGAAATTATTCCAGGAAAATTGGATAATTCTCTTTCTGTTTGCTCGCGGATTATATCAATGCGTATATCCGATAAACAAAAACAACGACATCTTAACAGTAATTTGTGGTAGACAGATATTAAACGGAATATTCAATAAGGATTGAACATAGATCTCCTTAATTTCAAGATCAACATCGATACAGTAACAAATATCATTTGATAGAAGCAATTAAAACTATCAAATATCGAAGTGGCGATACAAATACCTACCACGTTCTTAAACTCCTCCTTACTGTATTTCAAAAAAGAAACAGTGTTTCAAAATATGCGTCGAATATCGCCATTGTTGTCACAGAGGGAAATTCATTTAATTCAATATTCACAGAATTAAGAGAAGAGATGTCTGGATGTTCAATGTTGCTATTGGACGTAGTGTTCGTCGTTCGGAATTGAGAACCATAGCAAGTCAACCGAAATATAAGCATATATTCACGTTTGGCAAATTGAATGCTTTGAAAGGAATAACTAGGAGAATTACGAAGAATAGCTATCAAGATATGTGCATGTTCGGTTATTTAAACTAACCTTTATAAGATTGTCTTTAATCTCTGTCTATTTTAACCCATCATCGCCGTTTCTTTTACAAACCTAACTTTTCTGTTTACATCAGTTCCCATTTTGTAGGAAATCTAACAAGCGTAAACAATATTCAGATGTGAGATTTTTTTCCTTCCCCATTGTTATGTTTTACGATACGTCATATTTGCCTGAAATGCTCTTGAAAGTCAAACATATTATTACCTCCTCATAGATACTTTATACCTGCATGATATTTTTTTAAATAAAGATTTATTTAAGACGACGTCCTAATGAATTTAATTCAAATCTTATATTAATAGCATTTTAAAATTTTAGGAAAAAATGACATGTGTGCACATTTTCAGTCTGCAACAGGGAAATCCTAATTGGATTCGAATATAATTATTTTTATGTTTAAACGTATCTTTCTTAAATGCAATGATTCAAAATATGATAGGAACACTCACTTTTATTGTAGACTTCATACATATATATATTATCTATTATTTTCAATACAATTAAAATATATTATTGATAAAGCTTATCAGAACATTTGAAGTGTTCACAAAATGAGTACAACAGATAACAGCAATATTAACATTTCTTTTCAATTTATGAATAAAATGTCATTTGATATAAGAAAAATATCTTGTCTATAATGTTTTCTTTTTCCCTAATTATTTCAATCTTTTATCTAACTTATAATATCTTAATTGGCTTACTTCATGTATTTCAGTATGAGTAGTCTAAGGTAAAGTCTAGATTTCATCAGTTGTATAATGATAACTTGAAACGGGTTTGAAGAAAATTTCACGAACCAGTAATTTAAAAGGAGAAAATAGATAAAAGTATAAAATACAAAAAGATAATCGGTGATTTAGATTAAAACATTCAAATCCTGCTTTGTATTTAATTATCTTATCCAATATTTCATAATGAATTTTAACGTCGACATTAAAAATGTCAGTCGCCTTTATTTACAGATTGGTAGTAAATATATGCAAAAAAGTACAGAGATAAGGATAATTGTATGGGTGTTCGCATCTTGATAAAAAAATGTTTAAATAACTATATGCATATGTACTTGAATTAATATCACTAAATACGTAGGTTCAAGAATAACTAGAAGTCCTACCAGGATTCATTGTCGCTGGTCACAATCTTAACAACATATGATATGTAGATGACACAGTTTTGATAACAGACACATAAAGGACACTAAAATAACTTCTAAAGAATACCTGGTTCAAGAAAAATATACGAGGGTGCTCACACTAACATTTAGTTCTAAAGGCGACCACCTAACAATAGTGTTAGAACTCGGTTATATAATTTCCAAAAGTGACATTCGTTAGAAACTATTGATTGACTTTAGAGCGCACTCAAGAACAAAATGCTGATTTGATAGGTGTATATGAAAAAAGTAACAAGCATAAATTAATTCATGTTATACTGAAGGTGACAATTATATGCACTTTGATGTGGTGAAATAGCTAGACATTTTGTCTTGTTAGATCAGTTACGATGGTGTAGAGAGTTTGATCCTCACAATCATGTTTTTTTCCTCTAAAAACCGTTGTTTTGTGGAACAGTCTCTCGCTTGGATGTTTTCCCGCTAGTATTGAACTTTTCAAGTCAAGAATCGATCAATATCTCTCGTCCATATCGATATAATACTCACTTCCCACTCTTACATTCATATCACAATACTTCTTCAGTTGTACTCTAGCTTGAGTGGCTATTGGACCTTGCATTTCAAGTTATGTTGTCTTGTATAATTAGCCATTTTTTAAGTACTATATACATCAATATAATCGGAAATGGTCCTTTTTCATTTACTAACATGATATATATATATATATATATATATATATATATATATATATATATATATATATATATATATATATATATATCGCATATGTTGCTTATTTATTTTAAAAATGAAAATATTCTTATTCAATTTTTTAATTGTTTAAAAATATAATACTGATATTATGGGTGCAAACGCAATAAAAGTCGATCTTTTTAAAGGAAACTCCTCTAAAGATATTTAATGACAGACACAGATTGACCTTTTTTGTCAAGCTAATATACTTCAGCATTATTCTACATAACAATCATGGGAATTGTTAATAAAATCACATCGAGAAATTAGATCAGGCAACTAACGTTATTAATGAATCGAGGCTAATGAGTTTTGCTGATTTAAGAAATATATGTTTGTTATTATAAGACCTTATATACATATTAACGTTTCTATTTTTTTCCATCTTCAGGTATTCAGACAAACTCTATCGGCGCAGGTATGTCAATTTTTTTAATCTCTTTCCATCATTGCCTGCTACATTTCTACTGGTCACAGCATTTGCGTAGCTCATTGAAAATAATGACGAAGAGCGATCGTAAATGTTCAAGTGCAAACATTGAGTTAAAGAATTTGAACAATTGTTTAAACATTCACATTTACTTGATCTCCACAAATAACACATTTCATATTTCATTCAAATCTAAACTGTATTCACTTGTGTACTTTATTCTTAGAAAAGCGTATGCAGAAATATTTGGTAATAAAAGTAACAGATCAAAGTTCAACTAAGAAATATATTCGCTGCTGTAATAGTATTCAGGAAAATTTCGAACCAAGAATTCTATGAAACATGATAATGGTTTTGCATATACATTCCTCATGGAATCTATCAGGAATTAAACGAATACATCATGTCCAATCAGTGGAAGTAATAAACTACAGAATTTACTGAAATATATTCATTCAACATAAAAAGATTTTGAAATACTTGCTGTTAATCACCTGTAATATAATTACTATAATTTCGATTTTTATTTTCATCATAGTCATTATCCTCTAAAAACCGTTGTTTTGTGGAACAGTGTCTCGCTTGGATGTTTCCCGCTAATGTTGAACTTTTCAAGTCAAGGGTCGATCAATGTCACTCCTCCATATCGATATAATACTCACTTCCCACTTTTACATTCATATCACAATCCTTCTTTAGTTGTACTCTAGCTTGAGTGGCTATTGGACCTTGCATTAGGGAACACGAATAAAAAAAAACTACTTGAAATCTTGTATTTCATTCTACAATTAGCTGCATATGTTGTCTTGTATAATTAGCCATTTTTTACTATATACATCAATATAATCGGAAATGGTCCTTTCATTTACTAACATGATATATATATATATATATATATATATATATATATATATATATATATATATATATATATATATATATATATATATCATATATGTTGCTTATTTATTTAAAAAATGAAAATATTCTTATTCAATTTTTTAATTGTTTAAAAATATAATACCGATATTATGGGTGCAAACGCAATAAAAGTCGATCTTTTTAAAGGAAACTCCTCTAAAGATATTTAATGACAGACACAGATTGACCTTTTTTGTCAAGCTAATATACTTCAGCATTATTCTACATAACAATCATGGGAATTGTTAATAAAAATCACATCGAGAAATTAGATCAGGCAACTAACGTTATTAATGAATCGAGGCTAATGAGTTTTGCTGATTTAAGAAATATATGTTTGTTATTATAAGACCTTATATACATATTAACGTTTCTATTTTCTTCCATCTTCAGGTATTCAGACAAACTCTATCGGCGCAGGTATGTCAATTTTTTTTTAATCTCTTTCCATCATTGCCTGCTACATTTCTACTGGTCACAGCATTTGCGTAGCTCATTGAAAATAATGACGAAGAGCGATCGTAAATGTTCAAGTGCAAACATTGAGTTAAAGAATTTGAACAATTGTTTAAACATTCACATTTACTTGATCTCCACAAATAACACATTTCATATTTCATTCAAATCTAAACTGTATTCACTTGTGTACTTTATTCTTAGAAAAGCGTATGCAGAAATATTTGGTAATAAAAGTAACAGATCAAAGTTCAACTAAGAAAAATATTCGCTGCTGTAATAGTATTCAGGAAAATTTCGAACCAAGAATTCTATGAAACATGATAATGGTTTTGCATATACATTCCTCAGAGAATCTATCAGGAATTAAACGAATACATCATGTCCAATCAGTGGAAGTAATAAACTACAGAATTTACTGAAATATATTCATTCAACATAAAAAGATTTTGAAAAACTTGCTGTTAATCGCCTGTAATATAATTACTATAATTTCGATTATTATTTTCATCATAGTCATTATTATGAATTTTACATAAAATTATTACTGATATTTGAAAATCTCTTCCTTTTTCCATTCTTTTTTATAGTGATGAAGATGTTCATTCGCGTCCAAGTGGCCTTTATTGGACAAAAACCAATAAAAATAATTACCAGCAAATCCCCTATAGAATGCGCTAGATATTGTCTTCGTATTAAACAATGCAAATCCTTTAACTTTGATATGGTGAAAAACTGGTGTGTGTTATTCTCTTTTAATGCACCGAAGATGTTGACTCCAGGAAAGTGCCGCTACAAACACTACTATCGACGTATCTGGTAAGTAATAGTTCCATTTTAAACTGAAATTATTTAGTATTAAAGTTAAGCATTATGCAACAAAACACGAAGAAAATGTTAGTGTCTGCATTATAGAATCCAAAAGTCTAAAAGAAACGAATAAAGTAATAATCCACTCCTCCTAGAAATATGCCAAAATATCTTAAATGAAGCATCAATACAACTTGGATATAACCAAATTAAAATTATCTTTTATTCATTGATATACGCAAAGAGAGGTAATATGAGAAAAAATAAGTTTTTTGAAGTAAGATCACCATATTTTGATGAGTGGTAATTAGATATTAATACACTTCAGCAATTAGAATCTGATAATCTTTTGATAATATATCACACAGAAGAAACAACTATAAATAGAAAATTGTGTGAATGATAAATTGATAAACAAAATTCGATTGAATTGCTACAATATCTATCAACTGCCATTAGAACAACGGTTGAGGTTTCAGAAGATTTCACCGAGGAAATATATGCGAATTATCCCCTCTATACTGCTATACACGATAGTAGCCTCATCTCCATATTTGAATTAAATTAATATCATTTATTGTCAGATGTAGTAAATTTAGAACGATTATTTAAAAACAATAGCTGTTGTTTTAAAGAAAGCGGCTTATTGGTAAGTAATAAATCCCCTTAACCTCAGAAGATTTGTCATTAAGCTTGAGACCAGAAAACAATACAGTATCTTTTTGCTTGATATATTGTCTGAACTTGGAATTTTTTTAGCCACTTGTATCTCCTGTTTCTAAATCTTATTGAAAGCATATCTCCCAAGCCCAGTACTTGGTGAGGGCGGAGGATTGGCCGTTGATTCCCCCCCCCCCAGGTCGACGCTTGGACATAAGGTAAGCCGTACATTCAGTCACCATCATGAGGAAGAAGGCAGACAACCACTTGCTGGCCCATGTGCGTATAGTTTCGCTCTAGAAGAAACCCATTTACATTTTTATTTTTATTTTTTTTTTGTTCTTTTCGTTTTTAAATTTTTCTATCCCCCACCACACTCAAAGGCATTTTGTCCCAATGATTCTCCCTTATTTGATAGTTTAGTAAGAAATCCCGGTTCGAAAGTTTAAAAAAAAAAAAAATGAAAAATTAAATGTCTTTGACTAGATGCGATAATAAATCCGGGTAACCATTTTTTTTTTTCAATTTCCTTTTTAGAATACACAATGGGACTTATACTAAGTTAAAACTAAATGTGATAGGGTAAAGCCAAGTGCGACCCAGGACTCCTTACCTGTTATATCCCCCCGCAATCCTTCCCTCTGTTTTTGTCGTTTTTTTTTTGTGTTATCTGTAATAGGAGTAGGTACTCTCTTCTACCGCCCGGTCAACACTCCTTCCCCTTCTATTGGACATGAGTAGAGGCTTACACCTTGTTTCTTGTCTAGGAAGGGGTTCCCGGTACTGTTTCTCTCTCCGGCCTCTCTATTAGTGCAGCTCTGTTTCTCCCGTGATATGTGCAGTCTGTGGCATCACCTCTTCATTCTGAGGGTACACGGCTGACAGTTCTCTGGTTGCTGTTTCCGACTGGTAGTTAGGAGCCCTAACTCTTGCGTAGCGTCTTGAGCGGCCGCTCTGATCAACAGTTGTATAATACCGGGGTGTTTGTAGTGCCATGTCGCGCATAGAAAGGTGTCCCTGCAGTCACCTCCGGTGGGCAGCCCTGAGGCCACATAATGATGCAGATTTTGCCAACTCCTCTCTGCCCGCGTCACGGTCGAAACTGTCTGTTTCTTTTACTTCGGGCCTTCTCATCTTACAAACAAAATTCAACATGAGTAACAAAAACCGAAAGATTAACCCTAAACCAGCCTCTCAAAAACCACCTAAACCCCTCAACATTTCGTTCTCCAACATCTGGGGCATTAGGACAAACTTCTGCAGTCTGGAATCTTTCCTCACTGCAAACGGCCCGGATATACTGGCTCTCTGTGAGACAAACATTGTCTCCTCTATCCCCTCTTCTGATCTCTCGATTCCCGGCTATCTTCCTCTCCTCAGAAAAGACTCTCTAACCCACATGCACGGTCTTGGTGTCTACGTCAAGGAACATCTCTCTCTGGCCAGAGAGTCCTCTCTCGAATCGCCTGACCAGTCATACATGTGTCTCCGACTCTCTCTCCTCAATGCGGTAAGCTATCTCTTCTTCCTTTACCACTCTCCATCCTCTCAAGACTGTGAGATACTTGATAGCATTTCTGACAGCATAGACAAGGCTCTCTCCCTCCACCTGTTTGCTCACATTTTTGTGTTTGGTGACTTTAACGCCTATCACACCTTGTGGCTTAAGAATGCTACTACTGACCACGCAGGCATTCAAACACTTAATTTTTCAATCTCCCATTCCCTCACACAGATAGTTAACTTCCCCACTCGTTTTGCCTTCATCCAGGAAGGTAAAGCCTCTCTACTCGACCTGTGCTTTACCTCCATCCCCGAATCCTGCAGCAAAACAAGAATTTATATGGCAAATTGATATGAATTAATTTAAATTCCTAATCTAACACAAAATCTGTCGGTTGTAAGCAGCCCTAAGGTAGTGTTTTTAAGCCCCTCCCTTGAGAAAGTATTCATCTCTTCTATTCTGCTTACTTGCTGAATTCCAGCCTTATCAAGATGAATTAATTTTTTGTAGACCGATGCCGATTCTGTTACATTCACCAACCTTTGAATGATTAATAAAAAAGTAACAATCTGTCATTTTAGAAAAGGCTTGAATTGTTTGTTCTCTATTGAATTGACGCGAATGTAACAGGGAATTGGGAGGGTAGCAATTAAAATATTGTTTATCAGGAAAACAAATAAAATAACATCACCTTCAAAAGTAAATATAACCACAAAAATTAAAAGGCTTCATTTAAAATATCTCATAGTCCCCTTTTCCTAAGTGACATGACAAAATATATCTTCTCTCGGTCGTTAAAAAGAAATGATTATATATATCAGACACATTCATAGTTCTCAGTAAATTCTGAATAGCGAAATGATTGTTTAAAAATTACAATGAATTATATTTTTCCTTATATTTTACAGAACGGCCTCATCGCGTCTCCAAACTTCAAAAACTTCCTGAAAATTTATGTAAACTCATTTCAAACAAAATATGAACGGATTTAATCTTTCTTATGTAACAGTTATTTAATAAATGTTGAATATTGCATAACCATTTTATGAGTTTTGTTTTATATTTTGTAGTTTCATATTCTATTTTTCGTTTAAAATTACAAGTATTAAAATAGATTTGTTAGAATAGCATTATTTAACTTGTACTATTTGAAAGCTGAGACTAATTATACGATTTAGAATAGTTTGTTTCTTTTTTAACTCGAATCTCCACTTAAATTATAGTTCATCAGATGTATAATTCTATTTATATTAGTGCCTTTCGGGTGTTGGCAAAAACCTAACCGACTCAGCTTCATTACTAACTATTACCAATCACATTCTGGGACATTCCTGATATTACCAATTTATATATTTAGTGGCGACATAAACGCTATTTTTTTCCGAAATATGTTTCAATCACTTATCCACTGACCTACAGGTTAAATATGATTTTTTTTAACTTTATTTGTTTATTTTTTTTCATTTTATTTATTTATTTTTAAAATATTTTACTTGAAAAATGTTTAGAGTATTCTGCTTGAAAATTGGAATCTATCATAGAGAACGTCTTTGACGGTGGTAAATTAGGAAAAAAAATTAGTATTCAAAAACTAACTCGATCAACTAATAGCTTGTTATTAATAAAAGAAATTGCGCAAACTAAAACCTGTTTCATTTGTCGAGTTTTCTCTGAAAGAATAATGTGTTTAATTTTTATAAAATCGTCTAAAAAGGAAAACAAAGTGCAAGTCTCTCGATAATATACAAATATCACAGAAAGTAAATGTACTGAACATCATCAGTTCATAAATTTCCCCTTAATTTTAAAATACATTTTAACAATAAAACATATGTGATAAAGCATGCTAGTTTAGGCTGAAGTATTTCGTAACCAAAATCTTTCACTTCTGTCTTCTTCAGTAATCAAATAATTATTAAATTATACTAAACCCTTGAAAAGGAGAAAATTAAATAAGAAATGAATGAATAAATGATTAACGAATACTGAAAAGATAAAGATCATATACAACTGGATATATAAATAAATGATAAAGAAAGAGAACATATTAAAAAATATTATCATAGGATATAGAAAAAAATGTTAAAAAAGAAGAGCATAAACTGGAAAAGAAAAACACTCAGGAGAAATGAATATAGGAAGTTATAGTTCTCCGCATACAGTCAGCGTCACGTAGGCATTTAAAGTGGTAAATAACTGAACTATACGATAGACTCTTGACCGACCCGAATCTGGAGGAGAAATATATGGACAGTGGGAAAGACAGATATGAAAGACAATATGAAAATAGAAATCCGAAGTAGCACACATTATGAGATGCTTTAGTAACATAAGCAATCGAGATCATACCAAAGGAAAATAGACAAAAAAAAAAAATGAATGGATGAAAGATATAATTCTCGACATAATGGAAAGAAAGCAAAGGCAATGCTAATACACAGAAGATAATGCAGGCAAGCTAAAGAGGAATGCCCCAACGAAAATTGTACAGAAATAAAAAGAATGAGTATCAAAGGTAAAGCAGATATGCATAAAAAAAATGAGAGAAATAACAGGACCAAAGGCATTCTCATCAACAGGATGCATAAAATCCAAGGACTAACACCGATATTAGAGCAAGATAAAATACTTCAGAGATGGAACGAATATATTTTGGGGGCGCTTCCTTGAATCTAGTATGTAATAAAAGCACGAATGGTGTAGCTAACTCATATAATTTTTACATATTTTATTTTTCACTTTTTTGAAAAACCTTTTCATGTATAATGTAAACCAATTGTTGCATGTTAAAAGTCAGAACAAGGTTAAGATCGAACATTTATAAAAAAAATAATAAAAATATTTAAGTTCCACTCAATTGGCTAATATATTCTTTAAAATATATTAAACAATATAATCACACGATAGGAAAATAGTTATAGTTTCTTCTTGATTATACATCATTCTACAGCTTTTAAATCAACTTCTTAATCTTCTAAAGACTTCTTCAGTACATTCTATGATGCTATTTGTTATGTCTTCAAAGAAGAGCACCACTTTTGTCCTGCAAATCTGATGAAGCCAAGAAGAAGGCAAAAATTAAGTATCAAGTGAGGATATATCTGCAAGAGTAATTGAACAAAAAAGAGGAATAATGCAGTTCGTGCATCAAGATCTGATGAGTACCATGCGAAAAGACTTGCTTAGTACCAATAGAGGCATGCTTCAGCTAAAGAAAATGAATCTCGAGAACGCTTCACTGCAGATATTACAGATAGACCTAGGACAGCTTTCCAATATTATCCATCATTGCTCTATGGTAGAGACAAATTACATCAAAATGGAGATTTGACTTAGATATATACATTTTGTGAATCAAAAATCCAACATCACAAACTCCAGGGATATGTTACTGTGGTAGAAAAGTGAGACTGCTACATCTAAAACCTCCTACACAACAATTAGTTGAGTTACTGTAGGGTGATTACTCATAATAAAAATAATTCCTTGTTGCTGTCCGTCACTATAATTCTTCCATTCAAATGACATTTGATGCATCTAATTAGTTGGTTGACTCTGGATTTTTATCGAATTTCTGGGTTCAATGACAAGCTTATTTTGTTGACTTCATCAGACAATCTACAAATGAGCAACGTATTTTCCTTCAGGTTTACTTCATAGCTAATTCTAAACAAGAATGTAACAGGCGATGCTATATTTATCAAGACTTGGATAGGGATACTCTACATGCATTCCAAGATACGCTTCATACCATTGTAATGCACTGATTCAAAATTACATTGGAACAACTTCTACCCACAACAGATATCAGTGTGATCATTCGGGCTGACATTAGTTCCTCTGTTGCGAATTCTCGTTGCATTCTGCTGAATTTTACTGACTATTCTTTTAGTTTCAGATCCCTGTAAAAGAAAAGAGAGAAAAGATTTGTTTGCTTTTATACATAAGCATTTATGACAAGAAATTATGTGGATTATTATATTTTAAGCAGCTAGAATTCATACATAATAGCAAAAGTTTTACGAAATTAGCAATGTAACTTTATACTAAAATTGAACTTGAATTTCATTCCATTGTCTTATTGTGCGTGTATCGCTGCCTTTTTTAAAGGACTGGAAAGCCTGATACTGAATTAAAATGCTATTTTAATGCAAACAGAATCACCTTCGTAAAACAAAACAAAAATTTTTGTCCATATTATTAATTTGATAACATACGACCTAGGCTTCTTAAAATAATAATCCAAAGAAATTCTAAAAACAAGAAAGAAAGTCAGTGTCAGAAGAATTCTAAGAAGAATTGGTTCATCATTCCTCATCGCAGGGCCTTTCTTCCGGAAAGCAATATGGCCTTCGTTTCTCCAGGCCAACTTCTTATTAGGGCTGGTCGATTGTTAAACCAGACTCTTGCACAAGTCTATATAGTTGGGGCATGATCTCATAAAACCACACACAAAATATTTTACGTTAAAATTTCCATTCTATTTAAGGAAATGCAATTAAAAATCAAATTAATTAATATCTCTGAGATTGTTGCGGTGTTAACTGAAATAAATAACCAGGCCAGATTGTTCCATGCTAAGAAATAGAATAAATGTAAATCAATCTAAAACTAAGGGTTAATAATTCTTTAAAATAGTGAAAAAAATAAACATTTAGAATAGTAAACATATAATTGTTAAAAGAAATAACATGCTTTATAAATTTTATTTTAAAATACATTATTTACGAACAGTTAAGTCAAGCAATATTAATGTATTCAAATTGTAGGTAATGTTATGAGCAAATAAAAACTTTTTTTAGTTTATTTTTACTTTCCAAAAGAAATTTTTTTCAGAATGAATACATTAAAGCTGTTCGTAAATCATAAACATTACCCAATTTATTGTTAGCGATTGATTTATTTCGGTTTCACTTTTTTTTTTTTTAATAAACTGGATTTAAATTTTGTGGGTGACCATGTGCCTTTACACCGTTATTAGAACGCGCGTTTTGTTTTTATTTACATAGGAATCTTTTAAGAAATATAAGGTAAAAAAATATGTTAATTGCAAATTATTTAAGTAAAATATAAATTGAGAGTATAGTTTAATGTATTATTATTTCCGAGAGCAATATTTTTTCAAACGTTTTATGGAAATATCTGAAGAAAAATGCACTATAGGGTAGAAGTTTCCTCTAATCTTGGAGCATCTCTTGCTAATGCCTTTCTCTTTGATTTACAGGGGATGGACCTTTTTTAACCTAGGATTTGATTTTAAAAACATAAATGATGAGTCAAAATAGAGACAAAGTATAAAATAAATGCAATGACACATGAAAGACACACAAACTGTATTAAAAATCTTGTCTGTTTAGGAGTTCATGGCAAGAACAATAAAGAAGCTTTATTGGATAAAGATAACATGAATAATATGAGGACATGGTGACATTAAACTAAAAAAAGGAGCCCAGAACACCATTGAACATCTACTCAAGAGGCAAATACTAGGACATAAACATACCTGATTCATAGATTAGTTCCAACTACAGGTTTTACTAACAGAAGTAGCTTTAGCGTTATGGAAGAATTTGATTGTAAAGACTGCCTTAATGCTGTTCTTCTGGACAGTAAAAATATAAATACTGGATGTAAGACAGGCCTTGTAACTACTGTGGCGAATAAAATCCATTGAAAATTACATATAATTGGTTGTTCATTACATCAGAATGAGTTACCATTCAGAGCTCTTTTTAAATATGTTGATGGTGCAAGAAGAAGCTCGACTACTTTTCCAGGGCCACTAGGTAAATTGTGTGAAAGGGACTATCATAATTTGCCACAGGAAGGATTAATGAAAATCCGTGGCTCTATTGATAATATTGGCCAGAATTAATCAGTCTATAGAATTTGAGCACATGCAACCACAGAAAACTTTTCAGAATATGAAATTCAAGCATCACTTATAAATAACAAAAATAGTTTCTTTCACATTCTCCCAAT